AATGGATGGAATTTTGATATGCTAATAGGAGAAGGAAATTATGCCAATAGTGATGCCCAAATGCAATATGATGCAGGTCTTTTTGCCCAAGTTCAGGCTGCAGGCACTAGAGCATGGAGGAAACTGCCCACCAAAGGCGACATGAGCTCCTCCCTTACTAACATTAAACAAGGACCTGATGAGCCTTTTGCAGATTTTGTTCACCGCTTAATTACTGCAGCAGGCAGAATTTTCGGTAATGCAGACACCGGCATGGATTTTGTTAAACAATTGGCTTTTGAAAACGCTAATGCCGCCTGTCAAGCTGCTATTAGACCTTATAAGAAAAAGACTGATTTAACTGGCTATATTCACCTATGCTCTGATATTGGGGCTGCCTACCCACAGGGCCTTGCCATGGCTGCCGCCTTGCAAGGGTATACAGTTAGACAATTCTTATCCCAACAAAACAAGAGTAAATGTTTTAACTGTGGGGAAACTGGCCATTTCGCAAGGAATTGTAAAGGAAATCCCACTAATAACTCAAAAACTCAGACTCCAGGAGTCTGCCCTAGATGTAAAAGAGGGAAACATTGGGCTAATGAATGTAGGTCTACAAAGGATGTTCAGGGTAAAGAACTGCCCCTGATGCAGGAAAATGGGCACAGGGGCCAGCCCCAGGCCCCCAAACCCAAACAAATCTTTGGGGCAGTCAGTTTTGTTCCAGCAAACAACAATCCATTTCAAACCTCCTCAGAGCCACTGCAGGAAGCGCAGGATTGGACCTCAGTTCCACCACCTACACAGTATTAACCCCTGAAATGGGAGTTCAGGCCCTTCCTACTGGAATTTTTGGCCCTCTGCCTGAAAACACATTTGAACTAATAATAGGACGTAGCAGTTCAACAATGAATGGACTACAAGTCCTTCCAGGAGTCATAGACAATGACTACTCCGGAGAAATTAAGGTTATGGTATCATCCCCAAAAATATTAATACTGTCATCACAGGACAAAGATTCGCTCAATTGCTGCTCTTGCCTTTGATGCCCACCACAAATAGGGCAGTATCAGGACAAAGAGGTGATCAAGGCTTTGGGTCATCAGATGTTTACCGGGCAGAGGTCATATCAGCACAAAAACCCATTATGTCTCTCTGGTTAGATGGTAAGAAATTTTCAGGGCTTATAGATACAGGGGCTGATGTCACAATAATTAAAAAAGAAGACTGGCCTACAGCCTGGCCCCTAGACGCAACTCTGACTCACCTAAAAGGAATAGGGCAAAGTCAAAACCCAGAGAGAAGTTCAAAGCTATTAATTTGGAAAGATCAGGAAGGTAACCAGGGCACCATACAACCATATGTTATAGCCGGATTGCCTATAAATCTTTGGGGTGGAGACCTCTTATCCCAATTAGGATTAATAATGGGAAGCCCGAATGCTGTTATTACTACCCAAATGTTGAAAACCGGATATCTACCAGGCCAAGGGCTGGGAAAAAATAATATGGGTATAACAGAACCCATAGAGCCCTCCCCAAAGACTGATAGGGCAGGATTAGGCCATTTTCCATAGGGGCCATTGACACTCCTGTGACCCATGCAGGAAAGATCACGTGGCTATCTGAGGAGCCGGTGTGGGTTGATCAGTGGCCTCTAACAGCAGAAAAACTGATGGCTGCACAATAGCTGGTACAGGAGCAGCTTGATGCTGGCCACATTGTCCCTAGTAACTCCCCTTGGAATACTCCCATTTTTGTCATTAAAAAGAAATCTGGTAAATGGCGGCTATTGCAAGACTTAAGAGCTGTAAATAAGACTATGGCACTAATGGGAGCCTTACAGCCAGGACTTCCCTCACCTGTTGCCATACCTTTGGGTTATTTCAAAGTCATTGTTGATCTAAAGGATTGTTTTTTCACGATTCCTCTGCATCCAGATGATCAGACGCGATTTGCATTCAGCTTACCAGCTATAAATTTCAAAGCGCCTATGAAAAGATTCCAATGGCGTGTTCTGCCACAGGGAATGGCATGGCCCAGACCCAGTCCTCATCTGGGGCCGAGGTTCTGTTTGCATTTACTCTAAGAAAATGAAATCTGCCAGATGGCTACCAGAGCGTCTGGTTAAACAGATTGATCAAGTTAAAGGAATAACAGATAACCATATAGATAACTCCAGGGACGAAAATTCGCCCTGAGAGGCTTTTTCTGTTTTTTCGTTATTTCAGGAATGGACCGGAAGGCTGAGATCTTACTGCTAGGGATACTACTGCATCTTTGCCTGCTCGTGGAAGGAGATTTTGGGCTTCCTCCAAACCCTGGCAAGCTCCTGAGGGCCTTATTTGGGCCCCCATGTGACTGCCTTGCAGGAATGCTGCTGCTTAAAAGAACTTTTTGATAACCCCCATTGGAGCAGGCTAAATGGGGTGCTGCCTTATCTTCTCCCTCTGTTGGGCCCCTTACTTGGCCTTTTACTGATTGTGTCACTAGGACCCTTCCTCTTCAATAAGGTGATGGCTTTCATCAAGCAGCAGATAGATGCCATTAAGATGCAACCTATACAGGTCCATTATCATAAACTTGAAATGGTCGACAGAGAAGCTCACTCTAGCTGTGAGTCAGTAAGCTATGACTATGCCCGAGATGGCAAATAGTCTCAAAAACCTCGTCACCTTGGTGCGCTGGACTGGATAGCCAGAGACGGGCAACTGGAACTCACACGCATCGCCAACCACCACCTAAGACAGGAACAAGGCCTTATGCTGCCTTGCTATTCCAATGACAGTTTCGGACAGGTTGGCACCGTGTGCAAGTTTCCTGACCTAAAACAGGCACAGTCCCCTCAAGGTATTATTTTGGCCTTAAAATAAAAAAAAAGGGGGACCTGTGGGAGACTGTTTGCATGGCATCCATTTTGTTACAATCTGCTCTGCCATCCCCAGCCCCAAGGCAGGATACCTCTGTACACAATGTTTCTGCATTCCTTTAAGTAACCATTTACTCAGCCAGTTATGCTCTGTTTATCTTTTGTTCCACCCGGGATATTTATGTGATATTTACCTGAAATTGCTTCAGGGTGGTTACCACAAACTTATCGCTTGGCAACAAATGTTCTTGTTTTTCTGCTTCTTGTTTTATATATTGTGTGGATCTCCCCAGAATAAACAAGACTCTATCAGAGCCCTGTCTTGTCTCCATTTCTCGTGTCTCTTGTCCCTCCTCATCCTCACTCCCCCTCTAGAGTCCTCATTGCTCGGGATGGGTCAGTTTAACTTTGTTTCTTTTCATAAGATTGTTCTAACTATTCAAGACTGAATTTTTACATAAATTTTAGAAACAGCTCAATTTCTTTGAGAATTTCTTCTGAGATTTGGTTTGGGACTGCATGAAATATATGGACTGGATAAACTATGGAGTCTAAAAATGTATGGACTATAAACTCTATAGTTTGTGGAGAATAGATATCTAACAGAGTCTGCCAAGCTATAAACATGGTATATCCCTGTATCTTGAATAACCAATAGGGGCAGATATCTTGTATGTCTTGTACATCTTTCATTTTTTTAAAAATATGTTTTTATTGATTTTTTTGAGAGAGAGGAAGGGAGAGATAGATGGAAACATTGATGTGAGAGAGAAACAACAATTGGCTGCCTCCTGCATGCCCCCTACTGGGGATCTATCCAGCAAAATCACCATGTGCCCTAACTGGGAATCAAAGTGGGGACCTCTCAGTCGTGGGATGATACTATCCACTGAGCCACACCAGTTTTGTACATCTTTCAGAGAATTTATACTTTGGTGTTTGATTTTTTTTTTATGCTATTGTAAGTTGTATTTCTAAGAAATTTCATTTTCCAAATGTCCATTTAAGACTGTATAGAATTAGCCCTGGCTGGTTTGGCTCAGCAGTTGGAGTGTCAGCCTGCGGACCAGAGAGTCCTGGGTTTGGTTCCCACTAGGAGCAGGTATCAAAAAAAAAAAAGAGACAGTATAGAATTATAATAGATTTTTGTATGTTGACTTTGTATTCTAAGATCTTGTTAAATTCATTGTTTCCAGTAGTGTTTTTGTAGATTTCAAAGGATGATCTACATAAAAGCATGCCCTCTGTCAAAAACAGCAGTTCCTTTCCCATCTTTATGCCTTCTATTTTTATTTTACTTACTACAAATGGGTGAGAGCTGTCCTTATTGTTCCCCAGTTTAGTAAAAGCAAAGTGTTTACTATTAGTTATGAACTCACCTACAGGTTTCTTACAGGTGTTCATTGTCAAATAAAGAATGTTTCTTTCTAGTGGCAAGTTTCTGAGTATTATTAATCAGGAAAGGGTGATGAGTTTTGTCAGATTTTTAGAATTACATTTATCAAATTAATCCTATGATTTTTCTTTTATTATGTTTATTATGTACAATATTATATTAACATATTTTTATCATATGGTGATTTATTTTAATTGGATAAAATAAATGAAAGTTACTGTCTCTCATTAAACCTTTCCCTGTAGGCCACAGTTTCATTCTTCATTTTTGTTTGAAAGATCCATCTTCAGTTCAGTCTAAAACTGTACGGTGTGTCCCATCACAGCATGAAAATGTAGAAACACACGGTGTCCCTCAGCCTTCCTGTTCCAAGTCTCAGTCCACACTGTGCCCCGCTCTGCTCCCCTCCCAGCTCCCGGCCAAGCGCGGCCTCAGGACAGCCTGACCTGAGCGCGGAGGCCATGGCCTCCTCCGCACCTCTGCTCATCGCAGGGACTTGATGTGTCCTTGGGCCTCTTCCTGGGCTGCTTTCCTGTCCCCAGCCCTCCCCATGCCCCTTCCCCTCCGCCATGTGCCCCTCGCCGGCGCAGCTTGGCTCCCGCCTCCCCTCACCGGGCGGCCTGCAGGGGGCGGAAGCGCCCGCCACCTCCCCGCCCCGCGTCTCCGGGCCGCCAGGCAGTCGGGCTGCGCGCACCGGAGCGGGCTCCGGGCGGACGCGGGGTTTCCCGGCGGGACCGGGCACTCTCCCCGGCGCACTGTGGAGGAGCCGCCGCGCAGCCGAGCACCCCGGGTCCGAGCAGCGGCTCTCCCCAGCCGGCTTTCCCTTTCTTCTAACTTTCCGCCCCTTTCTCTGTCACTCGGGTTGCCACACCTGATCCTCTCTGGGTTCTTGGTTCCCAGAGCTCGGGAAGCGGCCACTGCTGTTTCCCAGCCGCGTCCTCAGCTCCCGCCCGCGCCTTGCCCCCGGGAAGGAGGGACGCCCCGCGCAGCCTCTGCGACTCGGGCAGGTAAGGACCGCGCGCCCCACTGCGCCGGTGCGCCGGCAGGTACTCCGAGGGCCAAGTCGGCGTCAGAGGCCTCGAGGAACAGGGATGCTTCCGTCCGCCGGGATTGCCGGTCCTGAACTTGTCCGGTGACTGTGATGCAGTCCTGAGGGGGTCTAACTCCTCCAGGCGCCTTAGATTACAGGGGAAGGTTTGGGAATCAGGACAATTCAGGTGCGAACCAGGATCTATTACCCTATTACTTCTTAGCTGGATGTCCTTGGATCAATGACTGAACCTCTCTGTGCCTTGGGTTCACCTCCTTTTATTAAGCACAATGATAGTGCCTACTTCATTTGGCCCCTAGGAAGATGAATTAAAATATTGCACCCAAATGTTTTTACACAGCGTCAGACACAAAGCAAGTGCTGAATAAATGAAAACTCTCACCTATTTTAATTGGTCTCACTTTTCCAGAAAAAAAGGAAGTGTTTTAACCTATACAACAATACTCTACTATAATATTATAGTATATAGTAATACTACTATCTATTACATGTAAACCTTGGTATACATGTATGTTTGCATGCGTGTATGCACACACTCAGAAACGCATGAACGTAAGTGGTGCAGGGGGAAGCATATGGAGAGTAGTGACATTTGTGTCACAAGGACTAGGAGGTGGGAATGGCGCTCCTGGGTTTACAGATGAGACACTCAATTCAACATGAATTCTTTTCTCCTTAGTGGGGACGTGTATGAATGCACACATACGTATGTACATGTGTATGTATGTCCAAGGTCATTTTTCCTCGGTGTGTTTGGTTGTTTTATAATCAACATACCCATCGAACACTACAGAGAAAGAATACCTTTGAAATAGTCGCTGGTGTTATGGTTTCCATCAAGACCATTTATCTTAGATGCTCAGTCATGTTTTGCTAATTAGAGTGACTTACATTGAGACCATCTGCATCTATTTGTGTGGTCAGTGTAACTCTCCATAATTTGGACTTAATCATTTCACCTGTCGAGTGTCAGGTTCCTCATTAGAAAGAACTTGGATGTGGCTTAACAACCACAGGTTTCTGCGAATTGTTTCTAGAGAATGGTCACGTTCCTCAGGGTGGGGCTATGAACAAGGGCAGTGGGACAGAACCAGGGGCTCAGGAGATGACAGGCCACTCTGGAGGGACCTTGGACCATACTACTTTGGGGGTCTGAGAGAGTGATCAGCTTGTAGCTAACCCTTACCTTAAGTCACAGTTTTTGGAAGAGAAGCTTTTCCATTTAGAGAAAGATTCATGTCATTTGGTGATTTAGGGGAAGTTTGTGAGTGGCCTTTGTGTGTAAGTGTATGAGTGTACACACATACATACTATGTATACACCTACATATATACATGCATGTACATACACACATATATTCCATATAACTAAAATACTATAAAGTATATATATTTAAGGTATACTACATTTACTTTTACGTATACAGGTAAGTCCCTTAGATCAGTGTCTCCTTACTATGGCTGCATATTAGAATCGCCTAGAGGATTTTTACAAATCAGAATGCCCAGGCTGTACCCCGGATATCTGGGTGGAACCCAGGCATCATTGTTTTTCACACTTCAAGAGAGAATGAGTGCCCTAGATCTCACATCAGTTGCTGAAACATACTTTAGAAGGTGTCATGATTAAGAAGCATTTCACAGGTAGAAGATAATGCAGATGTAACAATGGATCAGATGCTCACCCAAGACTCCCCAAAGCATATATTTGCCTTCATTAATTTAATCCCTTCATTAATTCAACAAATATGCAAGCAGACATAAAATGATAATATGTCAGTTAGTGAAAAGTGCTATAAATAGAAAAACCAAGGAATGTAGGAGAGAGTAGAGAATGTGTGTGTGTGTGTGTGTGTGTGTGTGTGCACGCAAACACATGAGCAGACAGGCTGGTGTGTATTCGCACTTGAGTAAACATGCTGTGTTGGACTGTTTTACATAGCGCTCAGAGAGGACCTGTGCATTATAGCTATGGTATCGACAAACTGTCAAGGGAAGACAGAACAATTTAATTTACCAGAGAGAAGTAATTAGTAGCTACTTGGGGAAAATGAGTGAAGTTGACCCAATCTGCATACCAAACAAAAGAATTACAAGTTAATGAATGAAAAAATTACATGTTGCCCTGGCTGGTTTGGCTCAGCGGTTAGAGCGTCAGCCCGCGGACCAGAGTCTTGGGTTGGATTCCGCTCAAGGGCACGTACCTCGGTTTTGGTTTGATCCCCAGCCCTGGTTGGGGTCATGCAGGAGGCAGCCAGGTGATGTGTCTCTCACATCAATGTTTGTCTCTCTCTCCACCTCCTTTCCTCCCTCCCACTCTCTGAAAATCAGTGGAAAAATATTTTTGGATGAGGATTTAAAAAAAAATTAAATGTAAAAAGAAATAGAAAACTAAACCATGAAAATGAAGAAAATACAGATAAGTATCTATCTGACCACTGAGGGGAAAGGGATGTTCTAAGTTCTAAGTAACGGAAAAATCACAAAGCAAAGGTATGATGGGTTTGACTGAACAGATCTTTCGTATATAAACATCAAAAGAGGAATTAAAAGGAAAACTAAGCAACAAGTTGTAAACACACTAAACATCTAAAAATGGGACAAAAAGGCATGAAAAGATAGTTCATAAACATAGAAAGAAAGAGAGCCAAAAATACATGACTAATATTTTGCTTTCTTTATACCAATAAAAATACAGATTTAAAAAACTGTGAGAGACATTGTACTAATTTGAATACCTAATTAGATTTAAAGACTGAGAATGCCCAATACTTATTTGGGTGTGGTAGGTGAATATTGTCTCATACTGTTTAGGGAGTGTGAATTATTACAGCATTTCTGGAATGCTGTTTGGCTGTATGTGTTTATCCTGTTTAAAATGTATTTTTTGTTTTTGTTTTTTTTTTATCCTCACCCGAGGACATTTTTCCATTTTTTGTTCAGGTAGAGTGGGAGGGAGAGAGAGGAACAGAGAGAGAGAGAGAAACATCGATGTGAAGGGACACATCGAGTGGCTGCCACCCGCACAACCAACCAGGGCCGGGGACAAACTGCAACCGAGGTACATGCCCTTAGCGGGAACCGAACCCGGGTCTCTCCGGACCGCAGGCGGACGCTCTAACCACTGAACCAAACCGGCCAGGTCTAAAATGTATTTTTTGCACTGTCATGTAGTAAAACCAGGAAAATAAGAAATGTAGATTAATAATAATAACTAACCTTTAAGTGATGTTTATGATTCACCAGATATTCTGTGATAGTGATTGTGTACTTCACCCCTGCTCTGGGTGGTAGTATTGCTGTTCCCTTTCATGGGTAAATAAACTGAGGGGCAGAGAAGGTGAGTAGCTTGGTCAGCACTGTCCAGCTGATGAAGAGGAGGGAGAATTTAAGTCCAGCCATTCTGGCAGGAGATGCTATGCTTCAAAGATGGACCCAAACTGCCTTCCATGAGAAGATGGCAATGGTTTAGTTTATAATAAAATATATTGTAAATTATAACATCCATATGAAGGGGTATTATGCAACAATTAAAATGATGTTGACAAAGATTTCAGACACAGAAAAATGCTCACTTATGAAGTGGAGGGTGCAGATAAAATATTAAACATCATCTTAGTTATTTAAAAATATATAAAGTACAAGAAAATGTTAAATAAAGTATTATACATGTTGATATTTTCTTCATTTTATATATGTCTATAACTGAAATACATTACTTTAGAAATCAGAAAAGTTTTTAAAAGGAAGGAAAGAAGAAATTTAAAAATTATATAGTAGCAAAAAATATCAACATTAAATATAACACTAAAAGTCCCACAGAATTTCTACATACAAGAAATGTAATATTTATATCCTCTTACATATATTGTATAACTAAGGTATCTATGATATTTCTCAGAATAGCTTTTGTTTTGGAAATGAATTTTATAATTTAATATCTTGGTTTTTAAATTCACAATATGCACATTAATAAATACACACACACACACACACACACACGCATAGAGTGGTGCACATAACAGCTAATTTGTATCCTGGAATCTTGACATGTTTCATATTGAAACTCAGACTCAAGTCATCAGAATAATGGGTTATCTCATAATAGTTTCATCTCTTTGTAGACCTTGGAAAAAAAAAAAAAAACCAAACCAAAAAAAAAAAACAACCCATCAGTGCTCTTACAAGGCTGTGTCAACCTTAACCAGAGGAAATAACACTTTTTATTCTACCCTAGATAAGAGGATAGATAGTTAACAACAAGAAGTGTGTGTGCGTGTGTGTGGAAGAGTTGATTTCAAACCATAGAAATAGTCTAATTTCGTTATGAACAGTTTGTACTTTCCATACATACTTATTCCTTTTGTCTTTACATTACTAATTATTATCTGCTAGAAATTACATCAAATGCTCGATGATATTATTCATAAAGATTGATGTAAGTGGTTTGGCAGCTTAGCCGTTAAATTTTATCCAGGATTTGAGCATTAACAGTTTTTGTTTGTTTGTGTTTGGTATGGGAAATGAGTTGTAATTAATAAGAGAATTATTTAGGGCTGAGAGGCTACCATGCACCCAGAAAGTCATCATAAACATTGGTCCCTTTATTATTATTATTTTTTTACTTTAATGTTTTTATTAAATCTATTGGGGTGACATTGGTTAATAGGATCATATAAGTTTCAGGTGTGGATTTCTATGATACAAGATCTATATATTGTACTGTGTGCTCATCACTCAAAGTCAAATCATCTTCTGTCACCATATATTAGCCCCCTTCAGGCCCCCCCCAACCCCCATCCCTCTGGCAACCTCCACTGAGTTTCAGTTTTGTATCCTGTGTATGAGTGAAATCATATGGTTCGTTCCTAGCTTTCTCTGTCTGACTTATTTCACTTAGCATAATATTCCTGCTCATTAATTTTGGAGATGGGCATCCTTACCATCTTCATTTGGGAATGAGCAAGCCGACTCGGAGACGTTTAAGTAACGTGCCCAGGGCTGCACAGCTAACTGGAATGCCAGCCCAGCTAGGTGTGCCCCAGAGACCAAGCTCGTTCCAGGATGCTGTGCTTCTCGACGCGGTGAAGCCAGGTGTCCGGTACAAAAGAACGCGGGTTATTTGTGAAATATCCAGACCTGGTGTATGAGCCCAGCACACCCTTCCCACCCATTCCACCCTCTGAATTTGTAATTAGTAGGACAAAACTTGGGTTGGAGTAAGAACAAAATTCCACACAGATTTGAGTTCTTTGAGTCTGGAATGTACGCAGTTCGCATTTTTCTCTCCGTTTTCCGCCAGTAAACACACACAGGTGTGAGTGCAGAAACAGGCGCACGTGCACACGCCCGTTCCCAGGAACAAGGCTGATGAACACTTACTGTGTGCCAAGCACTGTGCCGGACTTCAGAGATACACTTATGCACAACCTAGACTTTGTTCCTAACTTCTGAACTTATGTTCTGAAGCTAGACAGTGGATGAGAGAAAACACCAGCTGGGACACCACGCGCTCTCCTACAGGGCCAGGACTGTCGTCGAGTCTAATGCACCAGATCGCAGACTCTCCACAAATACAGTTGTTTCAAGTTTGTTCTTGGAGGCAAGGTTTGGTAGGCCAGGCCTAAACACACCAGACACTCTTGTATTAAAAAATTGTGTTACTAGGGATTTCTTCTGGATGCCAGAGTTCATTGCCTTGACATCTTATTCATTTTGCTTGGCTGGAAGTTCTAAGACGGCTTGGTGACTAGATTAGGGATATGAAAATTTTCTAGGCCCAATTTTTAAATTCCATGTGCCAGAAGACTTTTAAAAACCTTCCTTGTAAACAGATATGCTTTGATTTGAAAGTCTTAGCTGAACCTGTCTTACTCTGTTTTCCAGGAAAACTTTTGAAGCAGCGTCTTACAACATGCGTTGTGGACCACGACCCTGGGCACTTGTGGTACTCATGTTTAAGAGCACCTTAGGTAAGTGATGGCTATGCACAAACATTGTCGTTGGTAATCTAGAAGGAATATCAAGGTTTTGCTTTTTATGTGGAGGTGGCCATTGAAAGTGCTGAATTTATTAAAATTAGTGATTTTAAATTTTACTGCAGGAAGTTGCCAGATTTTTGGTGTCTCTGGCATAAAGCATAAAAATTCAGAGGAATGGGATCAATAAAGAATCATATGGTTTTGCTGACAAGGAAAAAATTGGCCTCTGCCCTGGCCAGTTTGGCTCAGCGGTTAGAGCGTCGGCCTGCGGTCCGGAGAGGCCTGGGTTCGGTTCCCGCTAAGGGCACGTACTTCGGTTGCAGTTTGTCCCCGGCCCTGGTTGGTCGTGCGGGTGGCAGCCACTCGATGTGTCCCTTCACGTCGATGTTTCTCTCTCTCTCTCCCTTCCTCTCTCTCCCTCCCACTCTATCTGTACAAAAAATGGAAAAAGTATCCTCGGGTGAGGATAAAAAAAAAAAAAATTGGCCTCTGAGTTTAGGTAGAGAAAGCAGAATGTGAAAACTGTATCCTGAAATCAGTTCCGTTGTCTGAGATGAAAATGTGCTTCATGCCGTTTGAAACTGAACAGCTGTCTTTATCACTGAATTTTAGAAAATCTCACACAAGTTATCTCCTGCCCCAAAGGAAGGCAGAGATTCGCCTCATAATGTAGGGAATGAAGGATGTGTGTGGGAACACCTTGCAGATCTAAAGGAAATGTTAGAGTTAGAGCAACTATATGTGAAAGACACTTCTCAGGCTAGGCAAAGTCGAGGAGGTTTTATGTCTGGTGTCGAAGCCAACTTGAACTTCTTAGTGGTGACTGCTTGATGACTTTTACTGAGAAATGTTCTGAGGCCTCATCGAGATTCTTTGGAGAAGAGTTCTGAGCTGCATTAGTAAGGTTTCCCTCTGGCTTTTGAGGAGAAAGTGGGGGCACACATACTGAGTTGCCGGGACACACACGAACCCCATCCCTGCTTGGAGCATGGTACTGAAGAGGTAGTGGTGCCATGTTATTGACGCTTTTAAACAGTCCAGGACCGACTGGGGGTATCTGTACCGAGGGGTCTAGGTGGTGTTGAGATCGCACAATGCATGCTGCCCAGATGCTAAAAGAAGGAGGTGGACCTGCTCTTCGTGACAGGGAGTGGTCTGTCAGCCCTGCTGAGTGCAAAACCAAGGTGCAGGACAGGTCATCGTGGTCCTGCCCTCTGCGGACACTGATAACCCTGCTCCTAGGTTACAGCAGAAACATGTTTCAGGCTCTGAAATAGCCACACACCCTGTTCAGTTAGGGTGCTAAGGTCCCAGCTCTCTGTCCTTTAGGTATTTTATTATTGTTGTTGTTGTTGTTGTTCTTTAGGTATTTGCAGAGCACCTACCGTGGTGGGTTCAATCTAGACAGACATGACAACATTCTACATGTAAGAAGACTCACATAACCTAGTTGAAGTTAGATGACAACATCCCATTATTGTCCAAACTCAAGATAATTTATGGAAGTGTCTTTTTCTGGAGATTCCATATGTGTTGAACTCCAGTTATTTCTCCAATAAAAAACATTAAAAAAATAGTTTTTCTTTATTGATTTTAGAAAGAGAGGAAGGGGGAGGGAGAGAGATAGAAACACGGATGAGAGAGAACATCAGTTGGCCTCCTCCTGCATGCCCCCTCTGGGGATTTGGTCGACAACCTGGGCGTGGCTCTGACTGAGAATGGAACCAGCAACCTCTTGGTGCAGGGTTGACACTCAGCCACTGAGCCACACCAGCCAGGCAAAACCATTTTTTAATCAACAACATAAGAGTCAGTATCTGCAGCCATTAGCTGCCTGGGGAATGGAAATGGTCAACTGACATGCAGCCATCCTGGAGAGTATGTATTCCAGGCTAAGTTTCTTCAAATGATAACTACTCCAAAGAGGAATGAGTCATATATGTGTCTATCAAACCACAGGACGGGCCCTGGCTGGTTTGACTTAGTGGTTAGAGCGTCGGCCTGCGGTCCAGAGAGACCCGGGTTCGGTTCCCGCTAAGGGCACGTACCTCGGTTGCAATTTGTCTCCGGTCCTGGTTGGTCGTGTGGGTGGCAGCCACTCAATGTGTCCCTTTCACATCCAGTTTCTCTCTGTCTTCCTCTCTCTCCCTCCCACTCTATCTGAACAAAAAATGGAAACATGTCCTTGGGTGAGGATAAAAAAAAAACACAGGACAGGTGTTTACAGAAACTTTTTAAAGACTGGCCAAACCCTGGAAATAACTCAAACGTTCAGCACCAATTGACGAATAAATAAATTGTCAAATGCCGAGATAGTTGGATGCTATATGACGATGAAAACAGAACAAATGACTGCTGCAGGCAGCCACAGATGCCTGTCACAGACATGATGATGCGCAAAGAACCCAGACACGAAGAGCACGTATTCTATGATCTGCACACTCTTTAATATGCATATATGTATCTCTAAAGTAGGAAACATTAAACTGAGAATAATTTGACATCCTTTTGGGTGTCATTCGAAGCTAACGCCCACATACACACATGCCTTCTGCACTCAAGTGCTGAGATGCGAACTGGGGGTTCTGTAACCAGCGCCCCACGCAGGGCTCATCTGTGCATTTAAGTCACTTTGACATCCACGGTTTGAAAGAATACTTCTACCATTTGAACCACTTCCTCTTTACATTGTAGTTAACAGTACCGAGTTACAACCCAACTGTTGCTTTCAGAAATAAATCCTACTTATAGGAAAGACACTTTCCCCATACCCTCAGGGAAATTCTCATTCTCATTCTCAAAATGAGGTTGAAGGACATCCTGGGGCAACCCAAAGACAGAATACAGGAAAGCTCCATCTATTTATGCTGACTTTGTAAGTGAAGGGATCAGATCAATTTTCAAATCCAGTTTCTGGGTTAGTTGAGAGAGAGAGAGAGAACACTTGGAGAGGATGTGCCAGAGACTCAGGTTTGGAGTGATATTATATTAATCAGTTCTTCATTAGCCACATTGTAAACTAGAACGATAATGAGTTTGCATGCACTCGAAGCTGCCCAGAAGCACCTGTAACCACCTCCACACCTGCGGGGAGTGGACGGCTACGTGGCTGTTGAGTACAAGACAGGTGAGACGTCTGGTGGTGCAAAGAAAACCTCTGAAGTCTCGAGGTTTCTGGCTTTTTTTCTACGGGCACTCTTCAGCTAAGGATGTTTTCTGGAAGGTGTGACAACACTGTGACTTCTGTGGCTTCCCTTATGAGGAAGTTGTCATGTGTAACATTTTCTTTTAAAAGATTACACTACAGCCCAGCCAGTGAAGCTCAGTGGTTGAGCATCGACTCTGGCACCAAGAGGCCCCAGGTTCAATTCCCAGTCAGGGCACATGCCCAGGTTGTGGGTCTGATCCCCAGTGGAGGACATGCAGGAGGCGGCCAGTCGATGTTCTCTCTCATCAATGTTTCTCTCTCTCTTTCCCTCTCCTTTCCTTTCTCTATAAAATCAATAAGGGGAAAAATTTTTAAAAAAACGATTACACTACATTTATCTGTCTTCCAGCATGGTAGGTTCAGGTCTGTTGCCTTCCTGTTTGGGAGAAGCTGTTGGAAGCTTTGTCCTTTTTTATGTTCTGAAAATGCCTTAGTGTTGGAAAAGTACTATGTCATCCTGTGTTTGATTTTTTGTTTCATTTTGCTAATCTTTTGAAGAAATCTGTAGGATACATTCTAACATCAATGCTGTTGAAGGGGAACCTTTCTATCTGAAATATTGCTCATATTTATCTGAGCATAAGAATGAAACAGCCCCCCCCAAATGGTACAGAAATGTGTCACACGGACCCATGGAGCTGAGCTCACACAGTTCGCCCAGGATTACTCTGCATGATTACGTTCTGGAGTTTTGGCCGGTGGAGCTGGATGACAGCGGACCTTACTTTCTCCAGTTGGGGTGAGTGCACTTTCCCTGCGTGCGCACGTGCACCGGGCCGACCCCGCTCAGCAGGCGCCAGCGAGGCGCACGGCCAGTCACTGTGCACCGGCCACCCTGCTCTTCCGGCAGCGCGACATCAGTACTCATTATTGAAACGGAATTAAATGTTGCCCCTATGTTTTTGTTTTTAGTGATCTTAATGAAATTAAGATGATGAAAGGAGATTACCTTAAAATAATTCCCTGTTAGGGGATTCTTGCCAAAGATAAGTGAAGATTGAATGAGAGTCACTCTGAGACTCAGCTGGTCCCGAGTCGCTGGTCAGTGGAACACGCGGCTGGACGCCGGGCCCTGGACACGTGGGGCAGGGGCGTGTCAGCTGCAGGAGCGGTGCTCCAGCTGGGCAGTGGGGTTGGCGCCGGTGCAGGTGCATCCTGGTCTGCTCCACGGTGTTTGTTGAGAGCCAGGTGGCAGTGCCAGGGAAGGACTTGTGTGTGTGGCAGCCAGTCACAAAGCTGTAGCCAGGGCCAGTGAGAGAGGGGCGCACAGAGAGGCTGTGCTCAGTCTTCCCGTGAGCACCCGAGACGGCCAGCTGCTAGGATCGGAGTCCCAGTCCTGTGAAGTGAGAGCAACCAGTTTGATGTGTCAGCAGTTACTAGGGAGCCCGGCTCTCTTTACAGGCTATCTGATGAGGTGGGGGGGGGGGGGGGCTGCCAGAAGGGATTTTGCATGTGATGAACTGTTAGTGAGAACCTGGATGTCAGTGCTCCTCTGCTACTTCTGTGACGTCCTGTGTGGACGCATGCGTGCATTGCATGGAGATTTGAGGCTGACCTGCAGGAAGCGGCTCAGGGCCAGGGCAGGCGATGGTGCAAGCTCAGCAGACTTTCTTCATGAGCACATGTGGGGTGAGTTATCACCCTGTTTTTAGTTGTCACACTGTTATCAACCGTGCATGGAAAGCGGACTATATGTCACAGTGAAACCTTAATGTCACTCCTGTGGTTTCAGAGAAAGTGAGGTCATTTGGGTTTTATACATAGGCAGCCCAGGAGTCAGAAAGAAATTCAAGAAGTCTTTCTTTTAACCTATGTATTTTATATGACCTTTCAGGAGAGATGGTTCTAGAAATGGGCCACAACCACCCTTTACACAGAGGCAGAATGAGCGCTCGCAGTGAGGGCAGAGAACACCTCCCCTGATCCCCACGGAGTGCTCCGAACAGGGCGGGGGAGGAGCGGGGAAGAGCCGGCACCACCGAGCCACTTGCAGAGGGGCAAGAGGGCAGAGCTGTCTGGGGCACAGAGGCGGGATGCAGCCTGCGTTAGGGAGAGGAGTGGAACACCATGCAGAGGGAGGATGTCAGACAGGCCTGGACGTCAGACCAGGAAGAGGCCCGGAGTGGGTGGAGTCACAGAGGCCAGGGCTGTCACTCTGAAGGGTTTTGGAAGCTGACAAACGAGATGAGAGTAAGTGATGGTGGAAAGAGCAGGCCTGACGATGGTTTTGAAAATAAATGGGAACTTTGTAGATATAGATGTTTTAAATGTAGTGCAACTGGTGAGCAGGACCCAGTGCTTGCACAGAGGTGTGCACACGTGTGCCTGTGTGCACCACTGCTGATGAGAGGCTTTGTGGCTTCTGTGGGGTTCATCCACAGCCAGCTCCTGCTCCAGGACTGTCCCCTTAGAACAGTAGTCCTTTTTAACTTATCAGGATTCCGTTGCTAATGCTCCAGTCCCTCTGGAGACAAATCCTCTAACCCTGCAGTGAGAATCACTGTGTTAGATCCAAGTTCAAGGAGGAAATCCACTACGGGGGGTGCAGGAGAAAGTTTGGATGATAGAGGGAAAGAAATAAAGGTAGGGGAAGCACCTGCAAAGGTTTTATCAGGCTCCAGGCCGGCAAGCAGCAAGGTGGGCTGAGTCTTCCAGATCCCTCCGAGGGTCACCAGGCATGGTCCTTGCAGCCGGGATGACTGGCCCTGACGGGGGTGGAGATCACAACCTTGGGTCCATAGGCTCAGCCTCACACCAGCCTTTGAGCTGCTTGTGTGCACAGCAGGCTGCTGGCTCCAGCCCTCGGCTCCCGTGGGCGGCCGTGGGCTCCGGCACGCGGGTCCCGCGCACGGGTAGACGTGGAGGCCGTCCGCCAGGTGGTGTTTGTGGAGGGTCAGGGCGAGGACTGTGGAGGTGGAAACGATACGGCTGATAAGTGGGAACACGCATGTGCCTCACTCCTTGTGACAACCTGACAGAGACCTGTGACTCCCTCTGCCCGTTCAGTGAGGCCCAGGTCAGGGGACATGGCAGACACACTCAAGAAGAGGATGCTGCCAATGGGATTCTGCATCCTTTCCAAGGACCCAGTAGCTCTGTGCTGTTTCATGGCCACTGACCCACTGCCTTTAACCCTTAGGACAGCCGCCAGCCCCTGGGCCCTCCGCTCCTAGCCGCAGCCGGTCTTGTGTGAATGCACAAGCAAGGGATGGGCCCGGTCCACACCGACTGTGATGACAAGCGCTGTGCAGGGCGCTCCTGGCCTCAGGACCACGGCGTGGGTGTGCACCCAGCCTGTCACTTACCAGGCATGTGTGTGGGAGAGTTATTAACTTGAAGTTTAGCTTTCTCACTTAACAACAGTCATCTCTATTGTGCATGGTACGGTACAATCCCTGCAGCTCATGAATGCTGCTCTTCTTCCATTTCATCAGACTTAAAGCGGAACTGGAGGAGCCTACAGCAGGGACAACTTTTTTTTCATACACACAGGACAACTTAACAATAGGGCTTGTTGTATTTGGTATAGGACTCTACACACCACATGTGCAGTTTAAGCTAACATCAAATTGCAAACGATTTTCTTTTTATTTTTTATTTTATTTTATTTTTTATCCTCACCCGAGGATATTTTTCCATTTTTTTGTACAGATAGAGTGGGAGGGAGAGAGAGGAAGGGAGAGAGAGAGAGAAACATGGATGTGAAGGGACACATCGAGTGGCTGCCACCCGCACGACCAACCAGGGCCGGGGACAAACTGCAACCGAGGTACGTGCCCTTAGCGGGAACCGAACCCGGGTCTCTCCAGACCGCAGGCCGACGCTCTAACCGCTGAGCCAAACTGGCCAGGGCCAAACGATTTTCTTTTTAAAAACATTGTTAAATTTCTTTCTCTTTAGATTTCTAATCCTAATCAGAAGGAACAACAGCAATATCTATTCAAACTAACTTTGCTCAGTGAGGCACAGACGTGCTGCTGTGAGATGCTGAGGGCAGCCAACAGTAAGACAAAAGGACCGGAATAAAGCGCCCTGAGAAATACCGACGTTCAGAAAACAAATTCAGGAGTGTTGTAGACCTCTTGAAACCACGGTCTCTCTCCTGTCTTGGGTTAAGAATCTCTGAACTTGTTTATTGCCAAAATCATTGACGTTCTAAACATTTCTGTCTTGAAATCCATAACATATGGACTGCAGTAGGTTGTGTGTGTGTGCATGTATGTGTGCATGTGTGCATTCGTTTAGGGCTGCTCCGGTGTTTATCTGTCACCGCTTTCTGCCCCCACCCATGACAGGTGTTCAATGTCTTGCTGAACTGAAAAGAGGCAGAGTCTGGGCAGGAACAGATGAGTCTATTCATACAAAAATAGGGAAAAAATGCATTGCATTGGTTACTAAAATGTGGTATTTACAGTCTCTGTACTAACTATAAAATATCTTTAAACTTTTTTCATAGACATCATACTCATGAATGGAAATTAAATGTCATCAGAAGGAGTAAAGACAGCTGTTATGCTGAAAAACAAGTAACTAGCAAAACTGTGGAAGTTGGGAAAACTTTGCTGGTTCGTTGTGAAGATAGCTACTATCAAAAACTGGTGAACAGAACATCCTTGTATAAGGTAACATTTTAACTTGAAACTTGTTAGAAAAGACAAATTACAAAATGAGGGTCTGCTGGGTGTGGAGCATCTTGTTCTCACGACATGTCCGCTGTGCGAGCCCCCAGCTGGCCGCCCTCTGGCCCGCAGTGAGCGCCCCACCGGGCGGGGTGCCCCGCACCCCCTGCCTTCCTCGCTCTCGTCCTTCGTTAGTTTTTCCTCTTTTCAATAATACATTTTTAGAAATACTAGTTTAAAGATTTTCATTTTTTGCTGCCACATATACTTAAAATTTTAAATTTTATTGTACCCATATTTGTCTGATTATGTTAGTTCATTTTATAAAGTTGGAAGACAGAAAAACAAATACTGAAGATAGCAGAAATCACTTATAACCCCACTGGCCAGAGATGGTTTTTCCTGTGTAAATACCTACTTTTAAAAAGTGGCACTGTTAATGGCTTGCGTTTTTTCTTCAGTCACTAAAAATTACATTGTGATTATTTCTCTACGTCTTTACACATTGTTCCAACCACGGGGTTCCATCGTGTATATATTTGTTATCAGACGTTTGTTAGTTCCTATTTAAAAAAAATTTTTTTTTTCTTTATTGATTTTAGAGAGAGGAAAGGAGAGGGGAAGAGAGATGAAAATATTGATGAGAGAAAACATTGACTGACCGCCTCCTGTGTACCCCCACTGGGGATCGGGCCCACAACCTGGGCTGTGCCCTGACCGGGAATCAAACTGGCGACCTCTTGATGCATGGGTCCATGCTCAACCTCTGAGCCACACCGGCTGGGCAGTTTCTACTTTTCACTATTATTTATCAGGCTAAAATAAATATTATTCCTATAAGTCTTAGAGTGTACATATGATTTCATCCTCTGACCAAATTCGTGAAGTAGAATTGTTGGTTCAAAGCTATGAGCACGTTTCTGGCTTTGATGCACATGATCCGGCTCCTCTCCAGGGAGCGAGGCTGTTTAACACCCTCTCCTCGTGCAGCCGTCGCACTGGGAGTGCTACTGAGGAACATGTAAACATGTGACATGCAAAACCTCTGTAACTTTTAGTAGGTTTTTCACACTTCTTCAGAATAAACATTCTTTGTGTACTAATTACATCTTTGCAATACTTCTTTTAGACAATACTATAGAAATTATATATACAGATTTATATATACGCATATGTGTATTACCTAAGCACATGCATTTATACGCTCAGATGTATATTACATATGCACATGCATGTATATGCTCACATGTATGTTACATATACACATGCATATATATCCTCTCATGTATATTATATGTACACGTGCATATATACACTCACATGTATATTATGTATACATATGCATTTATATGCTCACATGCATGAAAATATACACACAGGTACATACATAATATACATGTACACACAACACAAATTATATTCTTAATATAGAAAAACAAATCTAAAAAGTATGACTCCATCATGGAGACTTTGAAGACCGTGACAGAGGATGGTCTGAACAGAAGACCTTGGGGGAGTTGAAATTCTGGTTTCCTAGAAACTTGTTTCTTTTGTAGAACACAGTTTACTTGTTATTTTTCAAGGACAGCTCTTGTGCAAAATGTTTTCCCAGTGTCTGAGTCAGCCCCCAGCTGACTTGACTCCCTTTTCTTTCAAACTTGCAAATGTTTGACAGTACATGTAAACTTGAGGGTCAGTGTGCTGGGGTTTAAGAAACCCCAACATGCAGACAGTTAAGTTTAGAGAAGGGATGCATGGAGGATGTTTCCAGCCAGACAGCTGACCACAGGGCTAAGTTTTCACAGCCTGTTTACATCACGACCTGCCTGAGAGGATGGAGCAAGGAAGCTCAATCGGTAAACGATTCAGGGGAAATGAAGAGTCTTTGATATTTTAACGTGGTTCAAAAAAAATCAGGTTTGGTTTATCACATTTGGTGGATACAGAAACGATTACTGACATGAGGTGCGCCCGGCTGCTTCCCACGCTGGTGCTGAGCACCCCAGCCCTGCCCCCACTGCCCCCAGCCCTGGTGCTGAGCACCCCAGCCCTGCCCCCACTGCCCCCAGCCCTGGTGCTGAGCACCCCCAGCCCTGCCCCCACTGCCCCCAGCCCTGGTGCTGAGCACCCCCAGCCCTGCCCCCACTGCCCCCAGCCCTGGTGCTGAGCACCCCAGCCCTGCCCCCACTGCCCCCAGCCCTGGTGCTGAGCACCCCAGCCCTGCATCCACTGCCCCCAGCCCTGGTGCTGAGCACCCCAGCCCTGCCCCCACTGCCCCCAGCCCTGGTGCTGAGCACCCCAGCCCTGCCCCCACTGCCCCCAGCCCTGGTGCTGAGCACCCCAGCCCTGCCCCCACTGCCCCCAGCCCTGGCAGCTCTGGGAGGAGACTCTGGGCAGCGGGTTCTCCTCCTCTGGCATCTGCAGAAACAATGGCATGTCGTCCTCTTCTTTCTCTCCCTCTCCCCTTCCTTCTCTCTCTCCCTCTCCTCCTCCGCCTCTCTCTGTACAAGAGAGGGTTTCAAAGAAAGCCGCTACAGTACCCCACATCGCATCCCACCGTGCATCGATAACGATGATGGTTAAAGCAGTATCAGGGCTGTATTTCATGGTCCCAGTGAAGGCAGCACCAAATCGCTGGCTCGTTTACTCAGAAACGGCTAGTTTCCGTTAGATTTCCCTTTTTCTCTAAAGATCTTTAACGTTAACATTGTGAATTATTGTAATATAATGTTGGTTTAACCTAAAATATTTTAACTTGCTTTTTAAAAAACAGAACTGTAAAGAGATGAATGATACAAGCTCATCATTAAAGAAGAATGCAGAGTTTAAAGATCAGGGATATTACACCTGTATGTTTATCATTCATCGTAATGGAAAACCATTTACAGTCACCAAAACCTACAATATAACAATAGTTGAAGGTAAGAGAAATTTTAGAATCGGAAGGAAACAAACGTATCATAGTAAAATAGAATGTTTCTTTCTTCTAAAGCAGTACAGGATGCCAGAGGCAGCTTAGTTAGAGTTTGGACCACATCACTAGTTCAAATATAAGGATCAAAACCATTTTGGGCCCTGGCTAGTATGGCTTAATGGTTAGAGTCTGCCCACACACCAAATGGTCTCGGGTTTGATTCCTGGTCAAGGGCACGTACCTGGGTTGCAGGTTTGATTCCCAGCCGGGGCAACCAATTGATGTGTCTCTCTCACATTTCTCTCTCTCCCTCGTCCACTCTCTCTAAAAAAAAGAATAAAAATCAATGGGTAAGGATTAACTAACAAACAGACAAAACATTTTGACATTATTCACTGTGCTTAAAGAATTTTGCGGGGTAGTAATTAAAAGTTCATAAAGGTGAACCTCCCATAAGTTAGTTCCCTTATTTGGTATTTGAATACATTGTGGGGTCTTTTATTTTTAAAGCATATACTTTCACTCAACAAAAGAAGGGAAAGGAAGCAGGGAAATATGAAATGAAGTGAGTAATATTCTTTCCTCAAGGAATTTGATTATTGTCAGGAAAGGTAATCAGACACACAGAGATACCCTAGTACAGTTCACCCTTGAACCACACAGGGGTTAGGAATGCCAACTCCCTCCACCCCCCCGCACAGTCAAAAATCTGGGTATAACTTTTGGTTTTCCCAAACTCAACAACTAATAGCAGTCTCTTGATGAGAAACCTTTCTGATAACACATATTTTGTATGCTGTATTCATTATGTTCTGTATTCTTACGATAAAGTAAGCTAGCGAAAAAAATGTTAAGAAAATTGTAAGGAAGAGGAAGTACATTTACAGTATTTATTGAAAAAATTTGCATATAAGTTGGATCATGTAGTTCCAACCTTGTGCTGTTCAAGGGTCAACTGTTTATGAACCTGGAGTCAGCCGTGAGGTGCTGAGCTTGGGGGGGTCCAGGGAGAGCAGGTGGCGTCCGTCGGAGCCGGGTCCTAGAGACTGGCCTTGGCGGGTGGGCGGGTTGGCGGGAGGGCATGCGGGGCAGGGCACTCTGACAGAGCATGCAGGGGGCACAGCTGTGCTGCCGGAAAGGGCTGTGCATCTTGGGATGGTGGCTATTAGTCTGGTTTATCATGAACTCAGACTGTATATAATGCAAACACTAAAGTCTGGATTTTAGAGTGACGGAGACCTTAGAGGAGCGGTCTCAACCTGTGGGTCGTGGCCCCTTTGGGGGTCTAACGACCCTTTCACAAGAGTCGCCTAAGATATAACAGTAGCAAAATTTTAGTTATGAAGTAGCAACAAAAATAATTTTATGATTGGGGTCACCACAACATGAGGAACTGCATTAAAGGTGGCGGCTTCAGGAAGGTTGGGAACCGCTGCCCCAGAGGGAGTTTAAGGAAACCACACCCAGGGAAGGTGCCCTTCATGTGGCATAGCCAGTAATTGATCAGCTGGTCGCTTCTTGGGAACTGCCATGGAGGTGCCGAAATCGCACAGTCCAGATTTCACTATTTCACTGTTGAGAGTCGTTTTCCCCATCCAGTGCAATATGCCTTCATGAAGCCTCTCTTCATAACTCCACAGATCAAGTCTGGTCTCCTCTTAAAATGACAGCTCCTTTGGGTATTTGACGAGAGGTGGCTTATTTACCCTAAACGTCCTTCCCCACCGTCCAGTGAAATTCCTGTGATGGCTGGTTCAATAGAACAACGGGCTCTCAGTTACCAGACTGCTTGGCTGTGACAAAATTGTCTTCTTCATTTTCACCATCCACATCCACAGCCGTACTCCATGCAGTGCTAATGGGTAAATCATCGCAGACTCGGTGTCTCCAGCAACACACCTTGTTATGTAATGGTTCTGAAAGCCAGGAGTCTGCAGTGGGTCCTCGGGGCAAAAACTGCAGTTTCAGCAGGCGCGGTCCTCCTGGGGACCCCGCGGAAAGGGTTCCCTGCGTCTCTCAGCTGCAGAAGCACCTGCTCGGCTCGGCCCCTCCATCTTCAAGGCCCACCATGCAGCACCTTCAGATCCCTCTTTAACCTTTGCTGCTGACAGTCACTTCTTTGGCTCTGACCCTTCTTATGAGGCCCCTGAAATAACACTGGGCCCACCTGGATGATCCAGGACACTGTCCTCATTCAAAAATCCTTAATTTAGTCACATCACAAAGTCACTTCTGCCACGTGAGGTCTAATATTCACAGGATCTGGGGATTCGGATGTGAACAACTTTTTGGAGGGGCATAGCCTGGGACTCCCGGGACTCAGTTCTGAAACTCGAATGTCCCTTCCGCGCTTCCGTTCCTTCCCTTCTGTATTCTGTGATCTCACGTAGAACTCTGACCTCCCACCACCAGCACGCTCCCCCGCCCATCTCTGTCTTCTCCTGGGGAGCATTACGAATATGCGTTGTTAAAGGAGCAATGACTAGAGGCCAGAAACCGTGCCAAGTACATTCACCGAATCATCTGATACAACCCTCACAACATCCCTGTGAGATTGTGACCTTGGGTGAGTTCAATGACTCGTTTATCCAGCCTCAGATACCTCACAGGCAGAAGGCACAGTGTGGTGCCTCCCTCCGGGGCTGCGCTGAGGACCGAGGGGGTGAAGGCCCGCAGAGCACCGGGAAGGGCCCACAGGACAGGGAAGCTCTGTCGCTCCTCTGTCTCCGTCTCCGTCACCTCGCTCCCCCACCCACCACTGCGATTTTCCGCCTTAACTCCCCACCTTACTTATTTCGTCTTCTTGGGGAATGCCAACTCCTTGCTTCGGGATTCAGCTCGGGTCTCTCCCCTCCTCCCTGTGCCCAGGGCCTCTAGTTCATCTTCTGATTGCTGTCAGAATTCGGGCCACGTGTCTGTCTCCGTCAGGAGCCTGAGAAGCTCTTGGAAAGAAGGAATTGAGCTGAGCTCCTCCTGGTTCTGCATCTGCCATACTTGGGCCTGGCACTTGGCGCAGAGCTGGCGCTCATTACATGCCTGTTGAGCGACCTACTGAGGCAGCAACACTTCCTTCAACTGTGCCTCCTTCAACAAGAAGTCTAGACTCTCAACCATCCTGGCCATTTTCTTTGGATTTGGTGACGTTTGCCATCATTCTTCTAAAATGTAAAGCTTAGAGCCGAAGTCAGTAGTCAGGAGGTATCATGAGCTATGCTGAGGACGGGGGCTCTGAGCTCCTACCTGCTGTGTGGCGTCTTTATCACAGCTCACCTGTGTCAGGGATGGAGCGCTCAGCTACCACGTGGTGAGCGCAGTGCCTTGACTCACCGTGCGCTCACTCCACCTGGCATCTCACTTGTTCACTTCCTGCTCCGGCTGATCAGGCGATGTCTCCTCCTGCGGACAGCCTCTGAGCCATTCCGATGCACAGACCAGGTATGCCAGGGGCACATGCAGAGCTTGTCGTCTTTCTCCTGTTACCGGAATAGGGTTGTGCCCTTCACCTTACACCAGTCTTGAAACCTGGTGTTGCTCTGGGTTCTCAATGACACACTTCAAGTTGTAGAGACGCATCCAGAGAGAGTCATCAGGGGAGAGTTTCCCGTTACACCAAACTACCTCCCTCACCTCTGTCCTTGATCCAGCTCCTCTTCCTCAGCACACTCAGACCCGAGAGTCCAGTCTTTGGAGCAATTTCAGCTCCTCCTGCTTGCCCAGGTGAGCTCCAGACCTGCCCAGTGAGTCTGAGTCTCAGAGGATCTCAGCCCTGCCGGGTTCACTCCCTGATTTCATTCTCCAGTTCGGCCCACTGTGCCCGCGCAGCACCGGACTCTTTGCGAGAGCGCGGGCGTGGGTGCGGCGGGAGAGCTCCTGAGTCCCGTTTCGCTTCTCACAACCAGGCCTTCTGGAAGCCCCATGAAGCTGCTCTGGACAAGAGTTGTCAGTGCCCCACGCAGCAGGTGGATTAGCAGGGAGAGTCCATGCCGTGGAGAAGGTGGCCAGATAACAGGAGCAGCAGCCACTGGACTATGTAGCCGTGTCCGTGGAGGACCACAGTTGCTCCCAGTGTTCTTAGCCATTTGGCGGTATTACTGCAGAGGCAGGCTGCTGGGGGCTACCTGCCTCCTGCGAATGACTAGACGGGAGCAGAGGTGAAAATAATTGTGCATCTCCAGCTGGGGTCAGAAGTCCCTGAGGAGGAGAAGTGGAGCTGAGTCCGAAAGTGCGGACCTAGCAAGGCTGGGGCTTCATAAGGTGAGGCCTCCCGGCACAGAACTGAGTGTGGGCACCTAGTACGCCAGCTGGGTTTGGGTCTTGCACTGGGTAGTGGGGAGGCACGAGGAGGGCATGAGGACGGAGCAGAAGGCACTTCCCAGTGGTCTTGCCTCTTCTAAGGCCTGCAAGTGTGGCTCTCTCCGCGGACAGGAGCGTCCTCTGGCTGCTCTGAGCAGAAGCCCCAGATTTGCATCCAGGGAAAACGAACTTCAGCGTGCTTCCTCCAGCTGTGAGCGTTGACGCTGATGGACAGCGAAACAACAGTATTGACTACAACCATTATGTAATGCGACTATGACCAAAATGGATGTAAAGCTATGACTGTTGGAATCTTCATTACACGGAATGAGCATATCACAACAAATGTTTGTCTTAGAGAAGCTCATTGTAATAATCACTTTTTTTTTTTTTTTTCCACTTTTAGGTCATAGTAATGTAGTTCCAGCTATTCTTGGAGAAGATCTTAACCATGTTGGAGTGGAATTAGGTATATTTTGACATACATGTACTTTGCATTTAAGAACGGGACAAAGGGGAGTCTTCCAAGGCGAATCCTGATTCATTATTGATCAGTGCTGTGTGCATGACACATTCTGTATTTAGTGAAAAACCTTACAAAAGCAGAAACACCTGTCATGGTTTGAGTGTTTGCTATCTTTAGGCTGATTAACATGAATAGTCTGGGATGGCTTGTGGTTGGTAGATTAGGATTTTCGTCTCCCTGTTTATGACTTTTCTCTGATATGTTTATGACACTTTTCTCTCCCTGTTTATGACACTTCTCTGAAGTGTTTATGGTCATTTTTAAGCACGAAAACTCAGTAACAATACTCTAGAAACATTACTCAGACTTGTATGGCTTGAAGATGTGATGAACAAATTTACGTTGAATCAATGGACTGAGTTGTCTAGAGAGGTCTTGACGAATCCACATCACCTTTCAAAAAGAAAAGGAAGGTTAAAGAAGAAATTCACACATGTAAACCAAGTTTTCTGTTAGGTGATTGAAATACGTTATTGAATTAAATCTCCAGCAACTCGGAGGGTTCTTCTTCCTATTTCATGAGTTAAATGACTGAAGCTCACAGATCACAAGTGATCTGTCTAAGGTTAGACCACTGGACAGGGGCACAGGTGGGATTCAAGTGTCTGTTGACAGTTTCTAAAGCCCACACCTTGGCCCACAGTGGTCCTAGTTGTGTATGACAGCTATGCTCAATGTAGCGAGGATACCTTGCCATTTATATTTGTGGTTTTTCTGCTTTCTATTTTTAATTGATTCTGAGCTTATCTATTATTCTTTCTTCTCATTTTGAGCTTAGTTTGAACCTCACTTTTCACCTGTCAGCATGGAGCGTTAAGGAATTAATTTCAATTATCTTCTTGCAATATGTGCATTTTAGCTCTAAATTTTCTTAATCACTCCTTTAACTCTCTGTTTCCCACAAGTATTGATACACCAGATTTTCATTACTGTTCTCTCAAAACATTTAAAAAACTTTCTCTTATGATTTTTTCTTTCATCTATGAATTTATTTGTGTTTCTTGCTGTCCAAATAGTTTGAGAATTTTCTAGTTATTTTCTATAATTGATGTCCAAGATTATATACCATATCATTTCAATCTTTTGAAATTTGTAGTAACTTGCTTAAGGACCAGAATATGGTGTATTTTGCTGAGTGTTCCAAGTAAACACATTGAAACAATTGTGTTTCTGCAAGTTTTGGTTTTATCATTCTATTAATGTCAATTAAGTGAAGTTGATAAATCATCTATATCCTTACTAATCTTGTGTGTGCTTTCTCTGTTGCTGAGAGAGATGTTAATATCTCTATGACAGTCAATTTGTCTGTATAGCCTTTAGTTCTGTTAATTTTTGCTTTATGTATCTTTTTAATTCTCACCTGAAATGCTTATTGACTTGAGAGAGAGAGAGATTGATGTGAGAGAGAAACACTGATTGATTGCCTCTGTACATGCTCCCACGGGGAATTGAACCCACGACTTAAGTATGTGCCCTGACTGGGAATTGAACCTGCAACCTTTCAGCATATGGGATGATGCTCCAACCAACTGAGCCACCCTGCCAGGGCTTTGCTTTATATATGTTGAGGTTATCTTGTGGGCACACACAGACTGATACCCGTTGAACTGGCACTTTGTCATCATGAAATTCCTCTCTCGGTCCACCATTATGCTTCTTCCCATCCTATCCTGTCTGATATTCAATAGACTTACCAGTTTTCTTTATTTAGCATTGACATGTTATAGCACATTTATAACTTCACAAACACTTGACAATCTTACTACATTCATCCTCTCACTTCACTTTGTGGTATTATTTTATATATTTATTTCCTGTACATGTTATAAAATTTATATGATATTAGCATTATTATACATAACCAAAAATGTTTTATGTTTCCCCAGATAGTTGTCCTTTCTTGTGCTGTTTATTTGTTCATGTATTTCTTTGCTTTCATCTGGGATGATGTTTCTTGAGTCTGAAAATTTTCCATTGCAATTTCTTGTAGTGCAGTTATATAGGCAATAAATTCTTTCAGCTGTTATTTACCTGAAATATCTTTATTTGCCTCCAGTTTTAAAGAGTATTTTTTCAATAATTTTGATAATTTTACACTGAGCTATAAATATTCCCTGGTTTCCATAGTTGCTGTTGAAAAGGTAGTCTTTAGTCGTTGTTGCTACTTTCGTGTCTGTTTCTTCTGGTTGCTGTCAAACCTTTTTCTTTTTCTTTTTTTATCTTGATGTGCCTACATATGATTTTCTCTCATTTAACCTACTTTCGGTTCTACAGGGCTTTTTGAGTCTGTAGGTGTATGTATTTAATTGATTTGGGGGAAATTCTCTGCCATTATGTCTTCTGCCCGTTTCCTTTCTTCTCTCCTATCTGCAACTATAGGCACTAACTGTGTCCCACGTGTCTCGTAGGCCCTGTTCTGTTGTTGCCATCGTTTCCCTCTGTGCTCTAGCTTTCATCTTAGCCTGAATTAAAGCTCAAATAGTCTGCCTTTTTTTAATGCCCAGTCTGCTCTTAAAACCATCAGGTTCTTAAATTGTGTTTTGTAGTTAACAGATGTTCATTTAATTCTATTGAAACAGCTAACTGTTCTTTGTACAAAATGTTAAGCTTTCATCTATTTGTTTATATTTTCCTCTATTTAACTTGTTTACAATATTTGTTACAAATACTTTATGTGCTAAATCAAGCATTCAGGTCATCTCTGGGTCTGCTTCTACTATCAGTTTCTCTCTATTGATTATTGTTCCCATTTTTGTCTCTGCTTATTGTTTTTTAAAATTATTGTCAATCAATGCCTGGCCAGTGTGGCTCAGTGGTTGAGCATTGACCCATGCATCAAGAGGTCACCAGTTTGGTTCTTGGTGGGGGCACATACCCAGGTTCTGGGCCAGATCCCCAGTGGGGGGCACGCAGGTGGTGGCCAGTCAGTGTTCTCTCTCATCAATGTTTCTCTCTCTCTCTCCCTTTCCCTTCCTCTCTTTCTAAAATCAATAAAGAAAAAAAATAAAATTATTGTCAATCTTTGTGTATCTAAAACAACCAAAATGAACAAAGTTTGTATTATTATTATTAATTATTTATTTATTGTTGACATTATTACAGATGTCCCCCATTTCCCCCCTTTTTGTCCCTCCTCCACCTAGCCCCCATTCCCCTCCTCTCAGCCTTCACCACACTGTTGTCTGTGTCCATAGGCTATGCATATATGTTCTTTGGTTAATCTCCCCACCTTCTTTCATCCAGTCTCTCCCTCCCCTGTCCCCTCTGACAGCTGTTAGTCTGTTCTATGTATCCATGCCTCTGGTTCTATTTTGTTCATCAGTTTATTTTGTTCATTAGTGATCTCATGTGTAAGTGAGATCATATGGTATTTGTTTTTCTCTGACTGGCTTATTTCACCATTATTTTTAAAAGAGCATTTGCCTTTCCTCTGTTAGGCAAGTAGTGTGAGGAGTTGGTCATCTCAGTCGATTTAGGAACTGAGTTGGGTGGAAGGTAGTGTGCAGGTTTGTTAGAATCGACCTGCCTTGCATCTCTGACAGCCGGAGGAAGACTTCAGTCCTGTGTTTGTGGTAGGTCTTTTCCTGCAGTGGGTCTGGCTCTCTCAGTACCATGAGACTGTAGGAGGAAGTGTAAGCTTTGAGCAGCCTCCTACATTGCTCAAGGCCTCAGCAATGACCTCGCAAGGCCATGTGGCTGTCAACATCTCCACGGGGGCCCCGTTCCTTGTTGAGGTTCCCTCTGTGCTGTTCAAACCAAAGAGAATTTCTCCGGGGAATAAAATGGCTGGCTAGCTCAGCCCACCTAGAAAGGCTTTTTTCTGATTGCCTTTCAGTTCAACTGTTTCTCTTTATTTTTCTTGCACTTGTCTTTAATTTTTAGCTAACTTAATTTTTGTGACTTGTCTATTTGGTTTTTCTACAAGTTGCAGTGGGAGTGTTGGTCTGATACTACCTACTAAATTGTATGTTGAAAAGAAAGTGCACTGGCCACCCTATGTTTTAATAATTTATTTAAACATAAACATTTGAATAGAAGCTAATTCATATTTTGGTGATGACGTACAACTGATACTTAATTTCTATGCTTTATAACAATTTTAGGATTTAAAACCAAACAAATCACATCTGTTTTCCTTCTGGAATGTAGCACTACATCAGCCTTATAAATTAGGTTAACACATATTGACTATATGAAGTTAAAACCTTGGGAAATCTGAATTTCTGAAATCAGAACTCTGGCCCTGGCTGGTGTGGCTCAGTTGGTTGAGCATCGTCATGGACACCGAAAGGTCACTGGCTTGATTTCCAGTCAGGGCACATGCCCAGGTTGCAGGTTTGGTCCCTGGTCGGAGGCAATTGATAGATGTTTCTCTCTCACATCAATGTTTCTCTCTCTCCCTCTTCCTTCTTTCCTCTATAAAATCATAAAAATATATAAAAATAAAAAATAAAGTCAGAACTTTGTCAACTTTTATCTAGGAAAAGATGTGGAGCTCAACTGCTCTGCTGTGCTGAATGAAAAGGGCCTCATCTACTGGGACATCCATAATGACAGTGGAAATGCACATGAAGAGAAAGAAACAAGACACAAGTATGTTTATGTGCTATATCACATATATCATTATATATATATAAGTATTGTATCATATATACCTGATATAAAAAACTCTAGATTCCTGAATAGCTAATGGAATGTTTGGCGTAAGTGTATATTATAATTTATATATTTTATAGTTATAATTTTCATACTCTGTGTTGATGGATTGTACAGAAATTTATTGCTGAGATCTAAACTCAAGAGAGAAAGTCAATGAGGCTCCTTCGCATCACCTTGCAAAAGCAGCTTTTGGTCAGTCGGTCTTATGGGGATGGAGATTGTACCAAAGCATCTTTTAAAGGAGTGATAACCTAGGCCACAGAATTATGGATTTTAAAATTTCTGTTAAGTGCTTTATTTTCACTAATGTGCCAGAGTAAAGACCAGGTCAGGAGCCTGTGACATGCTGAGTTAATTAGGGCTGCTTGTGCATAGGAGGAATCCCTGGCTGGGTTGCCGCGTGTCCCTGTGAGACCTGCTGGAGTCTCTCGGTCAGAGTGACTCATCAGTACCCTTCCCTGCAGGGCCATAGGCAGGCAGTCCCCTGCTTCCTGTCCTCAGCTGTAGCCTGGCCTTGCACACATGCGCTTCTTTTTTATGATTGTTGAAAATCATTCATTTTAATAAAAGGAGAAATCCTGAAAGTCACAAAAAAGGAAATAGTCATTTGAACACAATAATGTGTGTATTTTGGGAATCCCTTGTATGGGCTAGAGATACACTGACATGGGCACTGGCTCCTCCTCTTTAGAGAGAGTTTGTCGCTTCTGATCAAACATTCTTCACAGTGATTGCCTTTCTCAAAGCACCAAAGAGCACCAAGGACACTTGTCAGGTATGCCAGGGTTTCCTGAGACTGTCCCAAGCAAATGATAATTTAAGTGACCAGTCACCTGGATTGATATCGAGCGTAGTAATTACTGCAACGTTTTCCTGAGTCCATTTATGGAAATTAGAAACATGATAACAGCTGAAATACAGGTAGAACAAGCAAACAGGACAATGATTAGATACAAAAATCTAGGAGGCAGTATTGGTGCAAAATGTTCCAAATAACATGTATTAATATTGAATAACCTTTATTCCTTCATGAAGGAATGGTCAGACTTATGGAAATGAAACATGCTACGTCTACGGTCATTGAAATGTTTCTGAATGACTTTGGGTCATTGCTGTCATTATTAATGCTCCAGTTCTAGTGAGCAGCGATCCTAAGATATCTGTCAACTTAGATGTACTTTGGAGGTTTTTTCCTGCATTTTATACTTAAACAAAGAAAACAAAACTGTTCTTCACCATCATGCTGGCAGTTCTCAGTCCTTGTTGACACCTGCCTACAAACTCCTTGCTGACCTGTTCGCAGGCTGCTCTCCAGAAGCAGGCTCCTCGAGCTCAGAGGACGCCGCTCAGCCCAACGGCACGCTCGCTGCCGCGGTGTCTGTCCTCCCTGGGGCTCTGAGTCCCCGCTCCTGGTGCCCCCTCGCTCATCCTCGGAGAGGTCGGAGACCAACTCACCACTTATTAATGAAGCTTCAACTAAGCAAGAGCGTGAGGAGGTCTTTATTGTCGGTGTGCAAGTTTTCATGTCATTGTTTGGCTCTCGCTGTGCCTCCCTTCTGGGTTGTCCAGTGATGTTACGTAGTTGATATTTCCGTACTGGGTCCATCTGTTCAGGACGATGTGCTGAGATGTGTTTGAGACAGTGGGTGTCAGGTCCCAGGTAGGAGAGACCCTGCTGCTGGGAGGTCAGGGGGTGGCTGGGGGGAGTGCTGGAGTGGTCACCGGAGGGGAAGCCACGTCACCAGCGTTTGCCTTATATCTGTGACGCGGCAACTTGAGTCCTTTAAGAAGGGAAGGAAAACTTGCTGCCAGGGGTGTCTCAGTCACTGTCTGACACGCCCTGAGCAACTCGGTGTTTCTCGTCTTCTGGGGGTGGTGTCTGCGAATGATGTTTTAAATGCTGACAAAATGAAAATGATCTTTAGCATCACCCGTGCAATACAAACTTGATGTGGATGTCCCTATGCCGAGCACGTTGCAGTCCCGTCACCGCTGTGGAGGCCGCTGGAGCAGGGACACCGAGTCATTAGAAGGGGGACGAGGGGAGAATATTGTCTTGTATTTTTATCTTAGCACATTCCCTTCCAAGCACTTTAATGCTTGAAAGTCGCTGAGCATCCCCAGGGTTCAGAGGCTGCTTCTGTTGGCCCCAAAGCCTCCTGCAGGAGTGGGAGGGGCCGTGGCCCTCAGAGCCCCACGCGGACGGGAAGTGCGTGCGAGGGTCCACGGAGCCCCTCACTCTGTGCGGGCGGAGCCGCTCTCGTGGGCGGGGTCGCTGGCAGTGAACAAAGCCAGCAGTAAATTACTTTCTTCTCTTACAGGAGTTCCAAAGGCAAATGGTCTGTTTCAAGAATATTGAAAATTGAGAATATTAATGAAAAAAATCTCAATGTTTTTTATAATTGCACCGTGTTCAGCGAGAAAGGCATAGACACCAAAAGCTTCATTTTGTTGAAAAAAGGTTTGACAAATTTTATTTTGGGGTCTGTGGAAATTTTGAATGTGGCTGCTGAGGGACTCCTCAAAGATCTTTCCTCCCCCATTTTGTGCACCGGAGGCCGGGCTCCTGGGAGTGAACCCCTGTGTGAAGGTGCTTGGCGGGGGGCCGGCGCTCAGCCGTGCGGGAACCCTGTGCCCTGGTCCCAAGCAGAGCCTGACGCACAGAATTTCTCCCTCTGCCCTCAGTCATACTCCAATCCTGTGTACAAACCAGGGCCCCGAGCATGCAGGCGGGTGGACCTCGGCGACAGAGGGTCACGGAGCAGACAGGGCAGCTCTGGCACACCCAGAACAACCAGAGGGGCTGTGGCCAGCCTGCCTTAGCTGGGCAGTGGGCATGGGGGCCCCTGGGTGTGGTCATTCATTCAGTAACAACTGACCGCAGTCCCCCTTCTCTGGGCCAGTACCTGAACTTGGCAAGTGGACATTTGATGGCTCTGATCACAAGACTCTTAGTTTCTCAGTGTGTACCTGATGGAGCTTTCCAATGTCACCTTCATCCTCCGCTAAACAATACAACCCAGAACCTGTGGCCCAGTAACTGCCTAGAAATGGCTGTGACAGGCCCAAAAGTTGTCACGACTCATTCAGTACTCACTCCCAGGCGGGGCCGTCCACCCCTGGAGAGGCAGGGGAAGACTAGGCTCGGAGAGACAGAGGGTGTGCCGAGACAGAGAGACAGAGACAGACACACGGACAGGAGCGCTTGTGATGTCGGCTCGGGCGAGACCTGCAGGATGAGGGAGAAAGGCCGATGGCCAGGAGGCCCCTCCTGTGTGATGCCCTGCTTCCGTCTGCAGCGCACCTGGATCACCTACCTGTTCTGAGGCCGCAGTAGCTAACGTTCTTTATGTTTATTAGATGATAGGCTCTGTGCTCAGCTCTTACCACTATTTTACTTGATCTTTATAACAAACTTTTACAGGTGAAGCAGCTCACCTCACATCAAATAACAAGGAAAGATATCAGAAGGCAGACCATGAACTCTGAGATTCACCGGTTCACTCGGTGCTTATGTTCTACACCGACACAGCCGTGTTCCCACCTCACGTAGACACACATGCCTCGGTCTGGGGACATGTGAGGAGGAGGCTTTCGAGTCCATTATTTTAATTAATTAATTTTAATCCTCACCTGAGGATATTTTTGCATTTATCTTCACACACACACACACACACAGGCGGGGGGGGGCATCGATATGAGAGAGACGCATCAACTAGTCACCTCCCCCAGGACCCTGACCAGGGACGGGGACTGAACCACAACTGAGGTACATGCTCTTGACCGGAATTGAGCCTGTGACTCTTTGGTCTGCTGGCCGATGCTCTGACCGCTGTGCCAAACCAGCCAGGGCCAAGGGCATTGTTGTTGTTTGGTCCATAGCCTCGCCTGGGTTTCTGATGACTGCTGGCCACCAGCCACCTCTCCCGTCTTACATTAGCGCTCGACGGTTCTGTCCCTGCCGTGGGAGTTTTCACCCAGATCATGTCCTCTTTACTATGCACACAGATGTCACGGGCGGGGTCTCCACCCACCACATCCCTGCAGGCGTGTGCACCCGTGTGCAGGTGTGTGTTTGTGCATCTGTGTGGCCCCGCCTCAGAGAGGCAGACTATTCAGAGATGCGGGAGTCCCAGGGTCTGGCTTCTCCAGAGTTCACTCATTAAGCAGATGGGGCTGCTTCCTTCTCTCTGGTAGCTACTTGTGCCGGAGAGGTCATTCCTGGGTTTGTGCAGAGGCGAGGAGCTTGCGCATGGTGATGCTCTCTGACCCGGAGTTCCCGCGGCCTCCGGAGCCTGTGCTGGAGCGCCACACGCAGGAGGGCCAGCCTTGTTCACTGCGACACTAGGCATAGTTATAAACATTACAATTAATCTAGATATTGAGATACTATGAATTACAATTTTATGGACCTAGTGAACTGCTCATATATAGTGTTATGCAAGAAAGAGAGATACTATATGATTCCAACTAAGTCAATATTTTTAGGGAAAATAAAAACCTAAAATGAAATATATTAGCATGTTACATGCCCATTACCACATTGTAGGATGGTTGTTTAATAAAATAATAATTATTAATAATTTATTAAAAGAGTAAGATAATTATTTTATTATTTTACTCTTTTGTATTATAGTTTCCATAGTGAGCATAAACTGAATCAATCTAAGAAATGTAATTCTTCCCGAAGAGCACTTTTGTAAAAAGTATGCTGACATTATCAGAGCTGCGACAGAGGCTGTCGTAATACTGCTGGGCACTGTGTCACCTAATCTTCCCTCAGAAACAGCCCCGTGAGTGAAGCCAAGATTAGCATTAGCTTCTACTGTCATTTCCCCTTTGTATTGCAGATTAAGATCCTAAGAGTTAAGAGCATCAGTGCCATTTCCCAGGCACAGAGTGGCAGAGCTGCCTGGGAGCGGGTCCTGTCCACCAAGTGCTTTCTCGTCTAAGACCATGGGCCTCCGTCTGTGGTCACGATCGCTCTCTGACACTGACGTGTGGGTCCCTCTGGACCTCACCCTCCTGTTTTGCAGTGCGAGGGGTCGGGCTCCCACAGCAGGGACAGACTGCCTCACCGTGCTCTCAGCGCAGGCTGTGGACACCTCGTACACACGGGAGTAGAGAGACCATCGCTGCCAACCGGGAGCAGGAACTGGAGTGGCTCGTGGGGACGAGCCGGTGGGCAGTGGGCCATGCTGACGGCCCGGACTGAGTCCACAGTGCGTTGTGGAAGACGGTGGTAACGTTTCTTTGACTAATTATTCCCTTTTTTTTTTTTTTAATCTTTCTAGACCATCCCGATATCCCAGGCCATGTCTTCACGAGAGGAATGATCATAGCAATTTGGCTCTCTGGGGCAGTTGTGTGCCTAGTGATTGTGGGTGTCATTTACAGAGTTGACTTGGCTCTATTTTATAGACGTTTCATGGGAAGAGATGAAACGTTAACAGGTAACAGATATCGTAATGTTGGGATTTCGTATCCTATGGTTTTATTAGGAAGCCTAATAAAGAAACATTAATCTTCATCTTACTTTGATTCTGCGGTAGAGGTTTTCCACAGGAAGCGTTGCTGTGAGCTCATCATCCATTGTGAATGTTGTCTGTGCTGCCTTGTGCTGTGCTCACTTACACATCGCCAACGACTGCAGTTGTTCTGTGTATATGTGTTGTGTCCTCCTCAATGCCCCGTGACATGCTGGGCACCTGACACAGTGCACTCACCCAATAAAGCCATTTAAATGGAATTGATTGTGGGTCATTATTTTAACCTGGCAAAGGAGGCTGTGTGCTGTACCTGAAGCAACCCTGCCCTGGAAGCCAAAGGGCCCGGGTTCCAGGGCAGCAGGTCTGCCAGTCTTTACCTACTACTATTTCTATCTGCTGACTCTATGGCTCAGTTCCCCTATTTATTTTATTTTGCTTATTCATTTATTTATTTTCGGTTAGTCCTCACCCGTGGATATTTTCTCATTGATTTTTAGAGTAGAAGGGAGGGAAGGAGAGAGAGAAATGTCAATGTGAGAGAGACACATTGATTGCTTGCCTCCCACATGACCCTGACTGGGTCTGGGGATCGAGTCTGCAACCCAGGTGCACGCCCTTGAAAATAATCAAGCCCACGGCCCTTCAGTCTGCGGGTTGATGCTCTAACTGCTGAGCCAAAATGGACAGGGCTTAGTTCCCCTATATTTTAAAGGCAGCTAGAAGGATTTCATATAATTACTGAATTAATAAATCAGTCTAATTCATTGTACTTGCTTTCATTTGTGTGTGTATGTGTGTGTGTGTGTGTATGTGTAGGACACACATATTTCAAAGCTGAGTCTAAAAAATTGTACAATAGAAAGTTTTCCTGCAGCCTACTTATGCCTGTTCCCACCTCATCCGACCAACAGTGTATCTAAAGAAACACACATCTTACTTTGCTTGTTTCAAAACAAATGTTCTTGTATAATGCACACTCTTCTGAACTTTGCCTACTCTTTTTTGGATATCCTGTCATTATTAGTTTATCAAGTCTCTCATTATTTAAGTTTTATTTCTATGGATAAAATCCTACAGTTTTATTTTTGTGGATGAACCACTACTTATGTAGTCACCTTTTGATGGACATTTGGATTGTTGACAATCTTTGTTATTACAGAAATGGTGTGACAGATGGCTATCATTATTTCCTATGTGTGTAGTGTAATTGAAGGAAAAACTCCCCCCAGTGCAATTGCTGGAAATACAAAGTAGAGATACAGTTGTTATTTTGAAAGTTATTTTCAATTTGCTATACTGCCTACGGCTTTCACTGGCTGGGAGTGACTTCTCCCCATAGCCTTACCCACAACCTTCCAATACTTGCCAATCTGAACGGTAAAAAGTTGCCCTTCGATGTCTTTTTCATTTGCAGTTCACTTATTGTACAAGAGCGTGAGCAAATTTTCATTTGTTAAAGAGTCATTTGTATTTTCTTTCTCAAAGTACCCATTCATTTCCTTTGCCCATTTTTGTATTGAGTAGTTGGCTTTTCTTTCTTGCTTATTTCTAGGAGCAATTTACATTTTAAAGAGGTTAGCCTTTGTCTATAATATGGAATGCGAATATGTTCCCAGGTTGTAATTCGTTTTTTGACTTGGCTTATGTGAAATAGTCTCTGATGTATTAAAATTTATTCTTCCTCTTATGGTTTCTGGATTTCTCATAGTAGAAAGGGCCTCCTAAACTCAAGTTATAAAGGAATTCATATATATAAATATTTTTAACAGATTTCTTCACATTTACAACTTTTACTGATATATAATTAGCGGTTAATTAATTTAGTTTTGAATCTGCATGTGTGTGTGATTTTGCTGTGGAGACAGATGCGCCCACACACTGGGAGGTCTGGATTTTAATCCTCACCCAAGGCTATGTTTTCAATGGTTTTTTAGAGAGAGAAACATTGATGTGACAAACATCCATTGGTTGCCTCCCGTACACGGCCCAGCCAGGGATTGAACCTGCAACCTAGGTATGTGCTCTGACTGGGAATGGAACCTACAACCTTTTGGTGCACAGGACAATTCTCCAACCAACTGAGCCACCAGGCCTGAACCGAGGGGGTAGGTCTGTTTTGATCCCTTATCACAGGTCTCTACTTGCATAGACAAGTACATATCTCAGAATGGGCGTTCACTGATAGCTCTCTTTTTCATTTTTAATGAAGACTTTGTTTACCCCCCTATTGTGTTTGACCCAATTCGCAGGTAGTGATTCTAATTCTCATGTCTCGGCTCTCAGAACAGCAGTGCAGAGACGCCTGGAGATGTGCCCCACGGTACTCCCCTTACAGTGCGGTCTGTGGACAGAGACCGTGAAAAATGAATGGGGACACAGGTCCAGAAATGGAGATGTTTACATTGTAGCAAGTCTACATTGCTGCCCTATTCAAGAATGTGCTGTTACTGGTTTACGAAGGATTAGAAACGAAAGAAACCAATCAACCAAAAAACTAAAATTAAGTTAAAACAGGCTATTGGCCACACAGTGTCTGTCTAAGAAGCTCTAGTCTAATTGACTCTGTAGTTTCAAACACCCATTCATATGTTGGTCTCATTTATACGGAACCAAAAAAAAAAAAAAAAAAAAAGCATTAGCTTTCAAATTACTTATCTCAGGCACTTTGTCAGTTTTAAAGCCACAAAAACTTTCATTACTTGGGTTGAAAAATAAATTGTAATATAAATTAGCATATTTGCTAAACCAAGAAGAGAAGTGCTTAAAAAATGAATTTGAATTAATAGTTGAAAAACTAATTTTTCATGGGTAAGAGTAAAGCTATATCACAGGTATACCACAATATAAACTTGACTAGATTATCTTTCCAATTTATTGCAACTAGTTACATTCTGATAATGAGAAAAATATGCTTTTTAAAAGTTGTACTGATTTACTTCTTACACCTTGGTGTCCGTTTTCCTCACCAACACAATGATCAGATTGAGGGAGGCACCAGCTCTTACATTGATAACAGCTGTGTCTCACACGATCTAACATATTAGGAACTAGCTTTATTTATTGATTTATTTTAAAATTATCTTCATTGTTGAGAGTATTACAGATGTCTCCTTTTTTCTCCCATTGTTCCCCTCCACCCTGCTCCAACCCCCTACCCAGGCCTTCACCTAATATTGTCCAAGTCCATGGGTTATGCATATATGCATGTAAGTTCTTTGGTTAATCTCTTCCTGCCCTGCTCCCCTAACTTTTAACCTATCTTTGACATGCATGTTAATTTTGCAATTTTGACCAAAATGTCCTATCATTCACATGCATGCAATTCTGCAAAGCGGTTGCTTCACATCAATAGTAGGTTCTGACTCAAACTGCTGGACCAGAGAGCTACATGTAGAACTGAAGATTTGCCAGAAAGAGTGTTGAAAGTTTTGTGAACCCAGATCCTGTTTAAGAAATTAAGCCAGAATTTTGGGTCTAAATGATGTGGCGCCACACAGAAATAGAACCTAGAATGGTTTCATCTTATTAAATTTTAATGAAGGAGCCAATGATATTTAATCTTCAATTCAGTGGCATATTCATGAATCCCAATCAGAGACCCAAGCATAACTCCTCCGTCATGTAACTAGTGGCCATGGGGTCCGGACAAAGCACCCACTGCCCCCTTTGGCATCTGCTGACTCAGAATTTCCTTCGTTCAGAAAGCATGTTCAAAACCACTCCTTATTCTCTGACCAGATTATTTTGTTTGTGTTATACTTTCTTGTTGGTGCCAATGTGTTATTTGTAAACTTTCAACTTGTTGCATTTGTCTACTAAAATAGATTGGATGGAGGTAGAAGGAAAATGTATATAATTTTTAGTAACCCAGTTAGTAGAATGCACTTTGTTATTTAGGTAACGCATTCCTGTTGAGTTTGTCTTCTAGCCATTGGAATGCTGAATACTGCTTCATTATTAGGAATAAAATAGGAGCCAGATGTTATCAAGAAAACATCAATAGACTGGAAGTTTTTGTTTGTTTGTTTGTTTTTAATTTTTTCCCTTTATTAATTTTAGAGAGGAAGGAAGGGAGAGGGAGAGAGAGATAGAAAGATCAATGAGAGAGAACATCGATTGGCCGCCTCCTACATGCCCCCACTGGGGATTGGGCCCACAGCCTGGGCATGTGCCCTGACCAGGAATCGAATTGGCAACCTCTTGGTGCCTGGGTCAATGCTCAACCACTGAGCCACACCAACCAGACTAGACTGGAAGTTTTTGTATTGGCATTTAGTATTACATAATATTTTAAAGTATCATAGCATGCATCTCTATAGCATATTGTTTATTCCCACTCTCCAGTGTACATGTTCAGTGTTGTATGTTCTCAATTCAAATTTTATTTTTCAATTACAGCTTACATTCAATTTGCGTACAGCATAGTAGTTAGACAATCATATGCTTTACAAAGCCTCCCCCCCCCCCAATATTTCAAGTACTAAGCTGGCACTATACATAGTTATTATAATATTATTAACTGTATTCCCTATGCTGTATTTTACATCCCCATGACTATTCTGTAATAGCCAATTATATCATCGGTTTCCAGAGGGTCACTTTGAAGGTACACACTGGGATGGTGCTGGAATTAAATGATATGAGTAGAATAAGCCAAGGTGAGGTTTGCTCTCTAATGCTGGACCAAGGACATATTCGGGCTACTTGGTGCTCTGGTATCTTCAGATTCCTGTATTTCTCTGACCTGTCACTTAGTTTTCCATCCCTCTGTGGTGTCAAACAGTGGGAGTCTTCGTGTCCATGCTGAAAAGTAAAAATATTAACAGGTTGCTCAACTATCATATAAGCTTTGAGGATGCTATTTTTATCTTTAATAATAATTAAATTTATTCCGTTTTTGACATTTAAAAATTCAGAGATAAAGATTAATGCATACAAAAGAATCATAAAACCAAAGACTATTTGAGGGACCTTAGGAATTACCTAAACACTCTTGTTTTACAATTTGTTTTCTATCAAAAATATTTTTATTTTTTGGTGGCTTTATTGAGTGTAATTAATATACAAAGAATTACACATATTAATATGTACAATCTGATGCATGTGGACACAAGGATAGCATATTTAACCTTTCTTTTTCAATAATTCCATTTTTGTTTTTCATGACTTTCACTCAAATTTGAACTTAAACTTTTATTTGCTGACGAATTAAAAGAACAAACCTTGTTTCCTAGATGGAAAGACATATGATGCTTTTGTGTCTTACCTGAAAGAATGTCAACCTGAGAATGGAGAGGAGCACAGCTTCGCCGTGGAGACGTTGCCCAGGGTGTTGGAGGGACGCTTCGGGTACAAGTTATGCATCTTTGAGAGGGATGTAGTACCTGGAGGAGGTAAGCAAGGGACCGCTGGAGAGAAAACGAGTGAAGATTCTTTCTTTTTATCAGATGAATAACTTAGGCTAACCCTATTTCACTTAGAAACCAACAATGAAACAGGACCCTCTTGCCAGAGATAACCAGGTAAATCAATATAATGAGCGGCGAGCAAAGCTGACGAGCTGCTGTGCTCCTGGTGTGGCCTGTCTAGGGCCATCTCCTCACCGTTTCTCAGTTCTCTGACCTGGGGACGGCACCCAGCACCCTGCTGCCAGAACCTGGGTCAGGAGTGGTGTTACCATGAGGCCTGTGTCTGGACACGCCCAGTCGTTAAGAATACCTCTTTAGATAACACTTTGTACAGCAGAGCCCCATCCTAACTTAGTATGTGACCCTTTGGACTATAAACACAGAAGATGCTTGTTCTTTATTGTGTTGATATCAGGGAGAAAATTAAAGTAGGAAATAGGAAAGTTGGAAAAATAAAAGGAGATTGGTGGTTCATATCATATTTTACTTATGAAATTCCATTGTTAACTTAATATAGGAATGCAAATGGCCATAGCACATATCTTGAAGTCAAGTGCAGTTAGAATCAAAAGTATCTAGTGGCATTTGCAGGTTTTCCCTGAAGTCTTGCAGAGCAAACGTTTGAAAGTGGGCGCCCTGGGTGCTGAGGCGCCGCCGATGCCCTCAGAGTCGCCACCCTGTGGCCGCTTACCAACATTTACGAGCGCCATCCTCGTGCCCCATTCTGAGCGAGGCCTTGAAGACATGGCAGTAAATAAGAAAAGACTGTGCTTTTTCTCTCCGACCTTACAAGTTAGAAAGGGAAAATGTTACAAATTGGAAAGAGAAAAGATACTCCTGCGTAAGTATGAATAACTTCCCAAAAGGAGGAGCGTGCGAATTGTCAGGCGCGCGTATCACTGTGACATCCGTGTGTGAACTTTCTAAGTGCTCCGAGGGCACTGCTGCTTGCTTTACACCGATTTCCCTGTTTTACATTACTTCTAGCAGCCATTGAATAATGGATTTTTTTCTTAATTCCTAAATATCATAAAAATGAAGGAGGGTTGTCATGAGTCTTGGGTAAAACCTGTACTTGCAGAGGGACAGAGGCCTGGGGGGGCTGGCGACGCCGTGTCGCGTGGGCTGCCGCACAGGGGCGGGACCGCCGCCGGTCTGCTGGCCTTGCATTGGCTGCTTCGTAAGCCCCAGCAGCACGGGGGCGCTGGGACAAAGCTGTGTGACCTGTGGAACCTGGACACTTGCTGTCGGGTCCTTTACAGAAAAAGTTCACCAACCTCTGGTCTAAAATAGCGCAGGTTTTTCATTTTTCTTTCTAACCGATTTTAACGTGCTCCTCCCTACGTGCGGGGCAAGGTGGTGCCGCCGTTAGGAAGGAGTGCCCCACGCGGGCACAGGTGGTGCGGCCCCTGGGGGTGCTGCGGGCCACCTGTGCGGCTCTGGTCGCTCCTCACCTCTGCACTGCGGCTTCCTCCTCTGTAAGACGGGGTGAGCTTTTCTTATGGGGCCATTATGATGGTTAGATGAACCAATATGCCTAAAACAGTCAGTAGGTGGTGTGGCACAGAGTAAGTGATAAGTACTCATTATTATTTTTACCTAGATGATTGCTTTTAATAGGGATATTAAATTGAAAATAAATGGTTTGTCTTAAAGAAACCCTTATCTGTGAACATCAGATAATGCTGTTAAATAATACATTAGACTGGAGAATGATTTCTGTCTCATGCTCACCTCATCCATTCTTAAACCAGTGTCCACATGTTGCGTTTTCAGCGGTGGTTGACGAAATCCATTCACTGATAGAGCAGAGCCGAAGACTGATCGTCGTCCTCAGCAAGAGTTACATGTCTAATAAAGTCAGGTATGAACTTGAAAGTGGACTCCATGAAGCACTGGTGGAAAGGAAAATTAAAATAATCTTAATTGAATTTACACCCGTCAATGACTTCACATTCTTGCCTCAATCACTAAAGCTTTTGAAATCTCACAGAGTTCTGAAGTGGCAGGCTGATAAATCTCGCTCTTATAACTCAAGGTTCTGGAAAAATCTTCTTTATCTGATGCCTGCAAAAACTGTCAACCCATACAGAGAAGAATCCAAAGTCTTGCCTCTACTCCCACATTGCTGACCTTTAGAACAGCTGAGTGTAAGGAAGAACTCCCGACGCTCCGGAGACTGAGTGGATGAGCTGTTTATAACCAAGGGCAATGTTCAAAACCTTTCCTTCTCCGAAAGGCCTACCCCCAGTCCAAAGATGAAACATCATTAGGTTGCCAGGGATAAGACTGATCGCTGCGCTGTGGGGTGTGGTCCCAGAAGCCCCTGGGACTTTAAAGAAATGGGTCTCCTCTTTCTCCTTCATAACTGGATGTTGAGGCTGGGAATTACGCAAGATAACATGTGCCTCACCAAAAGGACACATCTTTAGGAGTTTAACCTAACAACTGAATGAAAGGATTCCAAGTTTATGAAGTGGCACTTTCAATGAGCCAGTAAATGACGTGGTACCTGGCATGGCCTTCGCCCTGACCTCCCACCTGCCTCCAAGCACCCGCCCAGAACCAGGGAGGGTGGCTGCTGGCAGGCGGGCTGCGTGCAGAGCAGGGAGAGGCGTGGCCTGTGTGGCAGGGCAGGCGGGCTGCGTGCGCAGTGGACCGCACCAGGCAGCAGGCCCGTGGCTCTGGGAACCCTGCGAGCCCTGCGCTCGCATGCTTAATTGGGCCGATTTGTGGGACTTCTTAAAAGCAATCCAAACAACTTTTTATTCTTCATGAGAAACACAAATTTGAATTCAAATAATTCTCTAGATCTTTCAAAATTGGTCAAAAAACATTTATTGATTTTACATAAATATTTACACACAGGGTGGGTGCCAGATCATATTAGCTATTAAGCAATGAAAAACATGATTGTTACTTGATTTTTTTAAAGCCACGTATTTACAATGCCTGTTGGAGGAAGCAGCAGGGCACCCCAGTTTAGTTTGAGCTGTGCAGCCCAGATACTTGAGCTCAGATCCCAGCTTTGCTACTTACTTCTGTGACCTCTGGGACCTTTCTACCTGACATGTGCCTCAGTTTCCTCACCAGTAAAATTAGAATTTATAACTATACCCACTTCACAGGGGTACTAAGTGAATAAGAAAAGTACCCACAACAGTTTTTGGCCCAGACTTAACATTCTGTGTTGTTTACTATTATTACTGTTAATTATGACTTACATAAATGTTGTTGTTGTCGTTTTTTTATTCTCACCCGAGGACATTTTTTCCATTTTTTATTCAGATAGAGCGGGAGTGAGAGAGGAAAAGAAACAGAGAAACATTGACGTGAAAGGGACACATCGAGTGGCTGCCACCCGCACAACCAACCAGGGCCGGGGACAAACTGCAGCCAAGGTACATGCCCTTAGCAGGAACCAAACCCCGTCTCTCTGGACCACAGGTTGATGCTCTAACTGCTGAGCCAAACCGGCCAGGGTTTAGATAAATGTTTTTAATCCTCATCCAAGGATATGTTTTTATTGATATTTTAGAGAGAGAGGAAGGAAGAGAGAAACATTGATGTGAGAGAGAAACATCGATCCATTGCCTCCCATACGCACTCCAACTGGGGATCGAACCCACAACCTTTTGGTGTGAGGACGATGCTCCAACTGAGCCATCTAGTGAGGGCTAGGTTGATATTTTAGCAGTGGAGTCAAATGGAAGCCAGAGAGTAGGAAAGGAAGGAGGTCTGGAGAAGGAGGCAGTTATACTTGACAACATTTGTGTGTAGAGAAAAGTACATAGGAGAAGTATACCAGCAGGCAAAGATATTTCTTCACTGGACATATGCAGTTTTTGACATTGAAAGACACAGATCTGTCTCCCTAAAGCGGGCCAAGCACGGTGGGCCTTCCTGATGGCCTCAGCAGTAACGTCTGTCCAGGAAAATCTCTGAGTGCGTGACAAACGTCAGCCCTAAAGACAAAGGAAAGTTTTGGGAGGTCTGGGGGCTGGTTAGCATGTGTGTGCACTGTGAGCTCTTCAAAACTTTTAGAGCAGAGACTGTTGACTACAGCTGTAGTACATATTGCTGAAAATTAAGGAATAATTATATTTTCAGTGCCAGAAAGTGATTTAATTTTTATAGAGCTTATTTTGTGTTCTAGTTGTATGGCTAAAAAAAGTAAAAGAATTGCATTACATGTTTTATATGTGAAAATATATGGTCAGGAGAAATTTTATTGCTATCATCATAGTCTCTAATACAAGAATAATTGTGCTTTTTTCTTTTATTATGTATGCTTTAAAATATATTAAATATATTTTTTATTAAATGTGTTAAATATGTTCATTAAATATATGCCTTAAAATATATTGGTCTAGTGACTTTACTTTTGAAATGTCTCAATGTCTGTTTCATTTTAAAATTCCAATCCTCATTCTTAACATAGGTTCCCGTCTATTTGAATAAGATATAGGTCACCCCATGTCTGTCATTTGTTTGATATCGGACTATTTCGCACTCACCTTTTCACTTTCCACCCAGGAGGGAAGCAGAACCCCTCCCTCCTCTCACAAGCTCGCTCAGTTCGCTGCTGTGCAGGCGTCTAAATTTCAGTGCAACAGTTTCCAAGTAGGACCAATGAATAACTTCTGCTGACAGAATAAAGTCTTTCTCTTCCATGGCTCCAGAGGTCCTTAAATTGTGGAATCCACTTCAGAGAATCAGTGAATGACCAACTCTCTAAGATGTATAAAGAAACACATGTATGTCAAGGGGGGGGGCGGCATTTGAAATACTTTCAACAATAAAGATAAATTTATAGTAAAGAAAAAAATATGTGTATGTCTATTATATACTGGAAGCATTTGTTTTTTATAAATATATTTTTATTGATTTTTTAAATTAGATAGAGAGGAAGGGAGACAGGGAGAGAAATAGAGACAGCAATGAGAGAGAAACATCAATCAGCTGCCTCCTATATGCCCTATACTGAGCCCACAACCTGGGCATGTGCTCTGACTGGGAATTGAACCAGCAACCTCTGTGTGCACAGACCAACTCTCAGTGCACTGAGCCACACTGGCTGGGCCGTACTGGAAACTTTTGTTAAATTACAGTTATACTCTCTCAAAGCAGAGAGAGACCTTATTAACTGTATATCCCAAACCCAGGAACTTGAGACGCGGTCAGTCCAGGACTTGAGCCAGGTCCCGCAGCCAGCTGGTGTGAAAGGCTGGGCAGAGACATGCCCCATGCTCCCCCCGGGAACTGCCTGTTCAGTGAGAGGAGGTCGGTTTTGGGGGCTGAGGACACTTTCCTGCGGAGGCACCTTGTACTGGACTGACTAGGACAGATCTGCAGAGAGGACGCAGGGCTGCCTAGGACTGGCTCAGAGGAGAAAAGATGAGTACAAAGGACCTTCCACTAGGGTGAGGGTGGAGGGAGGAACAGCACCTGAGACCTCTAGGATGAAGCATGCCCACTGTGCCACCCCCCGAGGGAGAGCAGCTGGACCCTGACAGGCACCAGGCGCTCACCCTGTGTTGGCGTTGAGGGTCGGCAGCTGGGCTTCGGGCTCTCTGCAAGGCGCAGGGAGATGGGGCTTCCCTGCATCTGTCCACATGCTGGCCTGCACGGGGTTGCTGGCAGAATCAGTGTCCAAGGCTGCACTGAAACGTACCTTTAAATACTCGGAAACAAGAATTTGTCACTTTGGCCTGAAGCATAGCTCTGAGGGAGGAAACCCCGGGGTTAGGGGAAGCCATCATTTTGAATAGAAGCTACCTTGAGAGACCGGCTCATGAGTAAAGCAAGGCTGTTCAAAGAGTGACCAAGCCACAAGTCTAACAGGAAACAGGATGTGTGTGCTGTGGGCAGGACACTGGGACCTTCCAGCCACACCTGCACGCCTCACTGAATGGTCACAGTGCGAGCTGGGAGCCCTGACCCACGCGCACCGTGCTGCGCGAGGCTGGAGAACCAGCCGTTCAGTCCTGTGGCCACCCTGTGGGTGATGTACACAGCCAGCGGGGCCCACTCCCACAGTCCTGCAGCCTGATGGGTGTGTTCAATAGTTAACAGGGTAAGCGTGTCAAAATAGACTTTCAAATTATGCTTTCAGAGTCCTTGGTTCCTCAGAAACTCCTGTACTTGCTTTTTCTCGTTTAAACACATTGGTAATTAAACCTCCAATATAATGTTAAATAATTATAGATGTAGATATCCTTGTCTTATTCTTGACTTCGGTGGGAAGGCCCTAGTGTTTCCCCAATGAGTATAGTACTATTTTACATATCTACACCATATATATATACACACACACATACACACACACATACATATACCATATATATATACACACACACACACGCATACATATGTAGTTAATTGAAATAAGTACATCTCCACTAATTCTAGGTAATTTATTTTATTTTATTTTTGTATCTTTATTATTGAAAGTATTAGAAATGTCTCCTTTTTTTCCCCCATTGACCTCCTCCTTCTTGCTCCCACCCCTTCCTCCTTTTCCCACACTGTTGTTTGTGTTCATTGGTCATGCATGTATGCATATGGGTTCTTCGTTTATCTCTTTCCACCCACCCTCTTTCCTCTGAGGTTCCCTACTTCCATGCCTCTGGATCCATTTTGATCATTAGCTTATTTTGTACATGATATTTCATAAATAAGTGAGATCATGTGATATTTGTCTTTCTCTGACTTATTTTGCTTATCATAATACTTTCCAGGTCCCTCCATGTTGTCTCAAAGGATAAAAGATCTTTCTTTCTTACAGCTGCATAGTACTCCATTGTGTATATGTGCCACAGCTTTTTTATCCATTCGCCTACTGATGGACACTTGGGCTGTTTCCAGATCTTAGCAATTATAAATAGTGCTGCTATGAACATGGGGGTACATATATTCTTTCTGATTGGTGTTTCAGGCTTCTTAGTGTATATTCCTAGAAGTGGGATCACTGGGTCAAATGGAAGTTCAATTTTTAATTTTTTGAGGTAACACCATATTGTTTTCCACAGTGGCTGCACCAGTCTGCATTCCCACCAGCAGTGCACTAGAGTCCCCTTTTCCCTACACCCTCGCCAGCACTTGTTTGATGATTTGTTATTAAGTAATTTCTTTAACATAAGTTGGTGTTGACTTTTGTCCAATGACTTTTTTGCAATTATGAATATTACGAAATAATGTTTCTCCTTAGAGAATATATATATATATATATTTTATCCTCACCCGAGGACATTTTTCCATTTTTTGCACAGATAGAGTGGGAGGGAGAGAGAGGAAGAGAGAGAGAGAGAAACATCGATGTGAAGGGACACATCGAGTGGCTGCCACCCGCACGACCACCCAGGGCCGGGGACAAACTGCAACCGAGGTACATGCCCTTAGCGGGAACCGAACCTGGGTCTCTCCGGACCGCAGGCCGATGCTCTAACCGCTGAGCCAAACCGGCCAGGGCTCCTTAGAGAATATTAATGTTTTCATAATATTTAACCATTCTTGAATTTCTGGAATAAATTTCATTTTATCCTAATGTGTTCATTAAAGTAAGCAATGTATTTAAGTCACTAATATTTTATTTAGGAATTTGCACATAGTTTGTGTATGTGTGTATTTGAAATCCTTAAATATCCTTAAATGTTAGCAAACACTGAAAAACCATCACACATTTGAGAAAGTTTCTTACTATGAAAGGTCAAGATTGAAACAAAATGGAGTCTGGAGAAAATGAAGATAAGGCAAAGGGAAAACATTTAAAACAGACTTTTGCATTCTCGGGGAAACAAGAAATGATTTTACATTGAGCATAATAAAGTGGAGTTGGAAATTAAAAAGCAAAATGACTGAAATGGAAAACGAACTATCAGGGTTGGAGGTTGGTGAGGTGTCTCCTAGAATATAAAACAAAAAGCTAAATAAATTGCAAATAGAGGGGGGAAAATTGGAACATTAGCCTAAATTAAAGTAATAGAATATCTATAGAACAAAAATAAGCACATAACCTATAAAATAGGAATGGAGAAATGAAAAAAATATATTTTATAAATAATTTAAGGAACTATCTGAAAATTGAAGGACATGCATTTCCAGATTGTAAGGCTACTGATTACCCAGCAAAATGAATAAAGAATTGTCCTTAAAACTGGCAAAAATGATGTGCTTCCTGGTGTTCTATATTCAACCAAACAACCATTCAAATATGAGGGCAAAATAGAGATTTTTAAAAAAACATACAGGGTGGGCAAAAGTAGGTTTACAGTTGTTCATATGGAAAGTCCTACAATACTTAATAAATAAATACTTCAAGAATAAATTTGTGTTTTACATACTCACAACTGAAAACCTACTTTTGTCTCTACCCTCTGTAAGCTCTCAAGATACTTCCCTCCCATATACCCTTTCCTGGGGTCTACTGGAAAAGATCTTCTCCCACAATGCGCATTCTCTAAGACGAGGACAGTCCAGCGTTCGGAGCAAGGGGCCCGGCTTAGAAGAGAGGTTGAGTGTCTCCAGACCTATGGCACAGCCAGACTGTGCTGGCCATGGAGGGCGACCCTCCAAACAGAGGGGCAGGCCCAGACACACCGGCGCAGGAGGAAGGTCGAGTCCCTCGTGTTGAATGCCTTGAGCAGCGCTGTCCATTCTGGTGGAGAGTTTAGAAGTGAATTAATTATAGTTATAGAGAAATTTCATCAAAGGACAAAATGGCACCTTCTCACCAACCCCACTCCATTTGTGTAGCATCTTCGGACGGGTGTGGCCTCTGGATGACCAGAGCTGATGGACCCTCTCAACCCTTCTGTTTGATTTTCCTGTTGTATTCACACTGTTACCCCTCTTTTCTCCTTGAAACCACCTTGGATCTGCGAAACCATTCCCTCCTGTGGTCACTGCACTGTGTTAACATTTCCCATTGCTTCCATGCTTTCTGTTCTCTGTCCCCAGCCCCTCTTCCAGGTCCCTTCTGGACTCAAGTTGTACATTGTCCTTGCCCATCGCGTCGGCTAGCCTACAGACAGACATCTGACTACCTGAAATGTGTTTACTGAGTCTAGAGTCATATATTCAGTTCTCCATGGGGTAGCTTTATCTAGAGATGTACATACCATCTAATACTCACCGATTTATACTGGACTTATTCTAGTTTCTCTAAGCCTGCTCTTCCTACGACATTCTCTGTCTTGAATAATAAAACCATTTTCTACCTGGTGACCAAGCAGGCGGCTGAGCGTCATCTATAGTAGCTCTCCCTTATCCGCGGTGTTGCTGTCCACGGCTTCAGGTACCCAGGTCAACCACAGTTCAAGTATAGAGTAGGAGATTCTAGAAATGAACATTCATAAGCTTTACACTGTGCACTGCTCTGTTCTGAGCAGTGTGATGAAATGTCACACTGCCCACTTTGTCCTGCCGAAGATGAGCACTGCCCCTCTGTCCGCATAGCCACTCGGAGTGTGTGCCCTGTCCGCTGGCTTCTCAGGAGCCGTCTTCATTCCGGAAGAGACAGAAGGAGACGCTATATTCACACAACTCTTATTACAGTATATTGTTATACTTTCTTATTTTATTATAAGTTATTATTGTTAATCTCTTACTCTACCTAATTTACAAATTGAAATTTATTATAGGTACGTATGGAAGTACAGGAACAAACCTAGTTTATGGAGGGTTCATGACCCCGCGGCTTCAGGCATCCACTGGTGTCTCAGAACAACCTCCTGCATGGCTGGGACGGTTGTGCATCAACCCCTTTCTCCATGTGTCCGGTTCCGCCAGACAGCTCTACCCCAGACTTACGTTCTCTCTGAGGGCTCCTTGCTGGCCTGCGTCTCTTACTATTTCTTGCAAAGACCGGTGGCGGATGCTTTGGACAGGGCTCGCGGAAACTGTTTCCTGCCTGCCGTGGCTTTCCCGTCGTCAGCTGAAAACGAGGTCGAGGGAGGAGATTTTAGTAAAATCACTATGAAATTGTTTTCTGGAAGAATGGGAGGCTGACTGAACTCGAGAAATACAGAACAGCTGCCAAGAAGCATGAGTCTCCTGTGACTGAGAGTGAGGCTCACAGCACGGCTGTGTTCTCTGCAGCCAGGCGAGTTGTGCATGTGCAACTAGGTAACAGAGTTAGTATTTTTCAAGTAAATATGATAGAGATTGACAAATGAACTAAAGTCATTTGTAAGAGAGTGATAATAATAAATAATAAAATTTAAGTGGGAAAATGCAAGTGTAGAGGAGGGTCATTGCAAATTTGTAGGATCAGTGTGAGCTTCTGTGACCAAATAGTGGTCACAGTTGACTTGAGATGAGTATGTTTCGGGAGGAAGCTGATGGGAGACAAGGACCCAGGAGGGGGCCACTTGAAATGGAGGTTCTGGAGGCAAGTTTTGAAATGACAAGTCCAGGGTGTGACCATAGGAATAAATGCCTGTGGTCAGGTGGAGAGCAAGACATTTGGAAGAGGAGAAGAGGGTGTTCCATAGATCGTGTATGTAAACACTAAAATTAGCAAGAATCAGAACAGAATAAGAGTGAGTGGGGAGCTCATGTCTTCGGGAACAGAGTGCAGTGACTGGATTTGTGAACAACCTCAGCAAGGCAGGTGAGGGGACAGTGTGAGGCCAGGCTGCGCAAGGTGGGATGGGGGATGGATAATGTCTGGAAATCAGTGGTTCAGGGGGTCTGGGGGAAATAACAACCATCATTTAAATGGGGTGTTAGAGAAACTAAGTCTGGAAAGAGTCAAGCAGCAGCTGGTGGGGAGGGGTAAGCAAATGAATGTCTAGGGAAGAGTTTGAAGACATTACAGATGATCAATCTACAATTGAGGTCAGAGAAATATTTAATGCAAATGAATCCTCTCTCAGAGTTGTGCCGGAGTCCACAGAGCACCTCCCTGTGGTCTGCGGTGCACCCCAATCCAGCATTTACTGCATGAGAAATATCTTTAGAAGCCCAGCCCGTCTCTCCAGCTAAACTGTCACTGCTGAAGGCCAATGTACAATGACAGTTACCAGCAAAGGACCTGGCACACGTAGACGTTTAGCAGACACTGGTTAGATTGGAATTGTTGTACACTTACTTCCTTATCTTCCTACCCAAATACACCTCTTTGAAGGAAGAGACTGTTATTTACCCTGCTATCACTTTTCTGATACAATAATAGACACACATAAGACCGTTAGATATATATTCAGAGTGAATTATTATTATTTTTTAAAATCCTAAGCCAAGGATATGTTTTATTGATTTTTAGAGAGAGAGAGTGAGAGAAGCATCAATATGAGAGAGAAACATCAATTGGTTGCCTCCTATAAGTGCCCCAACGGGGATTGAACCCACACCTAAATATGTACCCTGACTAGGAATCTAACCCACTGCCTTTTGGTGTGTGGGATGATGCTCCACCCACCGAGCAACCTGGCCAGGGCTGAACAGATTCATTTTCATTTCTCCTAACAATTACCCCCTCGTGAAACAGAATTGATTCATCCAGTGGGAGCAGATGTTTCAGTTATTTATTGCTGTCTAACAAGCCTAAAACTTAGTTGCTTAAACATAACCAATTATTATTTCTCAGTTTCTGCAATCCATGTTGGGCTCAGATGGGCCATTTTTCCGGCTCTGCATAGTGTCTGCTGAAAATCTAGTAAGTTCTTCACTCATGTCTGAAGCGGAGATGGTTGGAGCTACTGGCCTCTGACAAGACATTTCTCTCTCCCTCTCCCTCTCCCACTCCCTCTCCCTCCCTCTCTCTCCCTCCCTCTCTCTCTCTCCCTCACTCCCTCCCCCTCTCCCTCCCTCTCCCTCTCCCCCCCTCTCCCACCCCCTCTCCCTCTCTCCCTCTCCCTCCCCCCCTCCTTCCCACACTTTCACAGCGGCTCTGAGCCAGCTGGGACTTGCTTACAGAGTAGCTGGCCTCTTATGCTGTGTGTGGCTCCACGAGAGAGAAAATGGAAGCCGCGGGCCTTTGGACACTAGGCCAGGGCTGGCACGGTGCTCTCCACTCCGCTGCCTAGAGCTCGTCCCTGTCGGCCCTGACTCGGGGACGGAAAACAGGCTCTAGCCTGGGCTAAGGAGCAGCCGTCCAGGGAGGAGGCAGAGGAAGGACAGCAGCCATTTTCGGAGACTCTGTCCCCATGCCCGGACCAGCTCGGTTCCGGTTCTGTTCCAGTGAGCACATTCACTTCCGAGTCCCCTTTCTAAAAACCTCCAGACTCGGCTCCAAGGTCTGCGTGGGGGTGTCTGGAACCTCAGCGAGAGCTCCCACCCCACCCACCGCAACCCAGTTCAACTCAGCAGTCACTGAACGCCGTCGTGAGACCCGGTACTTCGTCCTGTCCTGCCCACGCCTGTCCCCAGAGCCCCACGCCCGCTGCTGCGCTGTCGTCACTGCTGCCCCACGTGACTGAGCGCCCCCCACCTGCTCCTGGAGCCCTGCAGGCTGATGACCAGTGCGCGCGTGTCTAGAGCGTATTTCCAGCTATAATTGCTCACGCCCCTTCTGTTCGCCCACTGTGACCTCGGGGAAGGCTGACTTCGCCTTCGTCCCGAAGCGAACTCACCCTCCTTTCGCACTGTGTCCGGGCTGCACGCAGACAGGCCGGGCCCTGTGCGCTCCCGCGCCAGGCTGTTCCCCAGCTCGGCCCAGGCGCCGGCCGCCGCAGCGCTGTCGGACCACCGTGGTCTCCAGGTGCTGCCCGTCTGCGTTAAATGATTTCAGTTGTTCTATCGAAGAACAGGGGTGTTCTTAGTTATATGTTATATTTTGAAGCTTTCTCTTAATAAATAGGCACAAAATAACCTTAGCGATTTTAGATTATTTTCAATCACAAGTGAAGCTTGACCTATCATTAAGGTTACACTTTGGGGGTTAGTTGTACAAGAGAAGAAAACAACAACAGAAAACCACAGTTAAGAAACCTAGTGCTAATAGTCTTTGCGGAAATTCCTGTAAAGGAAACAGGCTCACACGGGTTTCAACTAACCCTGACCACAAGCCTAATCTAGGCAAGACGTCAGAATCAGAGATGCTTCACCTTCCGGGCATTTCCCTCGCTGACAGAGGCCGGCTGCCCGATTTTCTTCAGTATGACCACGGGTTTGACAGTGTCAGTGGTCACTCACAAAATAGCAAAGGTTTTCTTTTGACTCCAGGTGTATTTCCACACTTGTAAGAGTTAAATTGCTTATGTCTTCAAGCTATCCCTCTGGCTAGAGAGATGGCAGACTCTGAAATGGATATGCTCACACCGTCAGGGAGAAGCTGGCAGTCGTGAGATGACTGGAAGATCCTTCCTCTTTTATTTTTTATGTCTCAAGAACAGGAAACAAAGGTAAGGCAATAGTACTTTTTTTCATAGATTTCCTATCCAGAAAATGTAAGCTGAGAAAATAGCGTAAGTTTCAGAATGAATTGCTAAGACAATTCCTTTTCATACGATATTTTGTAATAATAGATGTACTGTCTAACTAGCAAACTTTATATCTCTGTGTCTGGAGACTTTAGTTCACAAACAAACAAAACCGGTGGTGACCACTAACGTAGAGCTGTTGGCAGTGCTTTGAGAAGGCGGCCCGCGGAGCAGGGCCCGGGCTGCCAGGCCAGCGCTGCCCCCGCCAGCACCCCTCCCCCCCCCCCACGCATGGGCAGTGGGACTCCTAGTGCCCTGTATCCCCCCGCTCCTCCTCCCCACCACGCATGGCCAGTGGGACTCCTAGTGCCCCGTCATCCAGAGTTCGTTGCAGTTGTAGTCTTGACCATCTGAGGGGAACCTCCGCCTCTGACAAAAGAACCCAGCTCTCAGAAAGAACTACGAAAACGTTTTGAAGAAGAGACCCTTCGGACACTAGAAGTCACCCTGATGGACTCTCACCTCTTTCTGTGAGGCAACAGCACGTGGCGATGGGCCGGTCGGAGTCTTTGGGACATTCTCCATCTGTATATAAATCCCTCTCTCATCCTTCGCCATTAGTAATGGGGCCATTGTTGAAGCAATGTAAGTTTTGCTTGTCCATCAATGAAACAAAAGGCCAATAGCTATCATCTGGAGAGTGAATGAGAGAGCAGGAGTCCCCTGAGACAAAGTGACATCAGTGAGTAACACGAGCGATGAAGGTGGAGGTGCAGGTCTGAAGGGGTGAGGGTCGCTCTGGGGAAGGAGTTCCGATCAGGTGTGAGAGAGCCACATCACACAAGGTGTCACACATGCTGCCTGGGGACTGACTCTCAGGCAGTGGGGCTGGTGGAGCCACTGGCATGGAGGTGTCACCCTTGGGCTTGCTTTTAGAAAGACACCTCTGGAGGCTGGAGGCGGGAAGTCTATTCGTCAGGGGCTTTCGGGAGAAGGGAAGACAGCTGAGGGGCAGAGCGAATCGTGAGGCAGCTGCTCTGTCCTGCATTTACTTTGACCACAGTCCTTATGAGAAAGAGCCCCCAGTGACCCCGGGGACTGTCCCTGGCACTGAGCACTAGCAGCTTTCCTCAGGTCAGCAGCCGGGGAGACATGGTGCTTGGCTCCCCTGAGCAGACTGGTCTGGACACACCTGCCGCGTGCATGGCTCTGCCGCCTCCCGGCCGGGACCATGTCCCTGTGCCTTTCCGAGCTGTATCTCGTCCGCCTCCTCGGGGAACTCAGTCCCTGAACTCGCTCCCCCTCACTTGTGCTTGACCTGCTGCCTTGTCTCCTCGTCCCCTCACAGCGGCATCATGTCAAAACTCCCTTCAGCAACAAAGAAACAGGCACCACTATGCCTCCCTGCACAGTGTAGCTTCTGAAAGATGTGACTTGTCCCCACCCCCATTTGTCTCTTCCCCCATCACAGCGCAGCTCTCTCCTCTCACCCACCCTGTGCCCACTCTGACCCACTGGCAGCCAGGCCTGATGGACACTAGGTCTTGTTTGTCTGATTCCTCTGCAGCTTCTGACATCGACATCTACACTTTCCTTCAAACTCTCTTTGCGCCTAGTGTCAAGATGGTCTCCTCCTCCTCCTCCTCCTCTTCCTCCTCCTTCTTTTGGTCCCATTGGGTAAATTATTTTTAACTTTTTCTCGGCCCTGACCCACCCTTCCAGGCTGGTGTTCCTCAGGGAAGTGTACCTGCTCCCTCCTGGCGGCCTACAGACTTGCCTGGCTTACAGCCCCTCCCCCCAGACTCCTCTGAGTGCCACCTGCTGCCCTTGGACTGCTCCCATTGGATCCCCAAAGACACCTCAATCTCAATATTTCTGCTAGAGAAACATTAAGTATTGATAACTAATTTATAAATATTAAAGTTATTTCTGCCTCCTGCATCTGAAGATGTTGGAGACACAGTGAGTGAGTGTGTGTGTGTGTGTGTGTGTGTTGGAAACTGGTTGAAAATGAAGAGTTTTATAAGATGAGGAAAACCAAGTGTTTCTTTATGAGAAAAGAAGGAGATACCTGGAGGGAAAGGTTCTGGGAAGGTTGTGGGTAGAGGGGTCGGTCACAGGAATGACAGGGAGGCTGGGAGGAGCTGAGAAGCAAGACTGGCCCGATGGGGACAAAGAGAACAATTTTGTTGGCTTCCTAAGAATGAAGAATGTGAGGAGAAGACCTAAGGGCACGTTCAGAGTGGCCACACGAGAGCTAATGTAACTTATCCCCCCCATTCCTTCCTTTCTTTTCTCCCCTCTTTATTTGTTCTTCTCTGTGACCACTGCACTTGTTCCTTTATTTCATTTTCCTGGAATTATTAATTTTCATATTGTGTTGACAAAGACTCTCTCCTTGACCAAGTTCCAGTCAGGAGCTCTGAAGACCTCACCAGGCCTGGGGCTGGGCCTGGGCCCTCTTCTGTCCTTGGCCTGCCCAGCCCAGGGTCAGCAAAAGCTTCTGCTCAGTCAACCTCCATCCATGGTATTTGATCAGCTTTCTTTTCTCCCATCCTGTTTCTAAATAAACCCTAACTGTCTTCAGAAAGAACCCTGTTAGGTCAGTCTCGTGAGAATCCCCAGCCTTGAGGTCTGTCCCTCCTTGGTGAGTTCCCACCTCCTGCTCCTACCTGTTCCTTGGTGTAAATCCTCACCTGTCCTGTCGTACTCTGAGCTGAGCTCTCCTCCCCCTGCAGTGGTCTTGGCCAAAGTCTTCCTTGCAGTTTTAATCAGTGTCAAAATAGTTGTTTTTCTTTAACATTGTTTCCCACGGTGTGTCAGACCCTTGAAAACAGGGGCTCTACCATTTTTATTAATTGCCTAAAACAGTATGGAAGTGACTTAGCAGAAAATTTTAGCTAAGGTTCAGGGGTTAATTGCCTTATGTCTGTAACCCCAAGAATAATGCAGGTCATGTGTATGTCGGTGATAAACATTAGAACCCTCAGAGGCTCAGGCTAAATGTTGTACAGGAAAATTACTTTTATTTTTCTGCTCAAAATAAAATTAAATAATCATCGAATATCACCCACTGCTATGTTCTGAATGTTTGGATTTCCCCCAGCCTCCAAATGCACATGTTGAACCCTAACCCTCAGTGGTGACATCCTGGTGATGGGGTTAGGAGGTGGGGCCCCGTGGAGGTGTTTGATAACGAGGTGGAGTCTCCATGAGTGGGGTCTCTGATCGGTCACCACAAGGAGGCACAGGCTGTAAACCAGCTGAGGGTCTTCAGCAGAGCCCCTCATGCTGGTGCCTTGACTTTGGACTTCCTAGACTCTAGAACTATGAGAACTATTTCTGTAGTTCAAGAACAATCCTGTCTCTGATTACATATTCTGTTACAGCAGTATGGATAGACTAAGGCGCCCTCAAAGCACCCTTCTCACTCATCTTTTGTAAATAATTTGGAATCCCAGTGATCACCCTGTGAACCAGGGGACTAACCGCCAGGGACACAGGCTGGCTTCTTATTCTCTCTCTTTCTCGAGGTGACCTGCTCCCCTTTTAACATTTCAGAAATTGGTAGTAATGCCATCCGGTAACAACTTTTTCTTTTTTATTTGAGGCATGGAGAGTCAAGCATCCTCTATTCTCCAACAGTTTTACAAACTAGTAATATGCAGACAGTCTGAAACTTTATACACATGAGCTCTATTGCTAGTTTCTCTAAGTGTGGAGAACCGATCATTTATCATTCAACTTGGGTCATTTCTTTTCCAGAAAAACTTTCACTTAGTTCTTTCTAAATTACTCATGGAAACATGCGTACTGGTGAGAACAGGAGAAGAAGGGAATTCCGTGAGAAAACAGTCAAGAGACACTCCGCATGGTGCAAGGGCCGCGTGATACGCTGAGCTGCGATGTTCTCCCTCCCCCAGATGTGTAAGAAATGACACACACAGAGATTGCTCCACACCCTGGAGAGACTGCACACATGTGGACAAGTGTGGCTCATTTGGGGCCCTGCCCTTTCAAAGCTTCCTGTGTGACTTGCGTTTTGGTCACAGCTACAATTTCCTTGTCTCCCGTTATCATTTACAGAAATGAAGATGCTCTCGGGGCAGAGCTCTGAGTTCCAGTGACTCCACTCTGGCAGCGGGACACGTCCCTGCAAGGAGGACAGGACCCAGGGAGAGCCATGTCTTACTGGGGATGGATGTTTCTTTGGCTTGTCATAGGAGAGAGGAGTAAAGGATTTAATATTTCAGGTAGGGGTTTCCACATTCATGTCAACACTGATCTTGTGGTTGAAGTTTAAAGTGACAAATAATTTGATAAATCAGTAGCATGACATATTAACACAGAACACTCTCTTCTTACTGTTGAGATGAGTGTCAGAGGAGAGAGTATTGGGGTGAACAGCTTTCAGCTGATACCAAGCATTGACAGGGACCCCGTTACCACCGGAGGGTGTTGGCGGGCGGAACGGGCGGTGGCTCTGTCATCTGGAACAGGAGGCGCTGTGGCTACTGAGGCTGCTGGAGTCACCGAGAGGTGTTAGACCATGAACTCCCTCTTCCTACAGAGTGGGGACAGTGCCGTGGAAAGACACACCGCTGCTCTGTAAATATGAGGCAGATTCATCTTCTAATGCATTTCTGTGCTGCTTTGTTTGTTATGGTGTTCAGGTTGCTCCACCAAACGTTTTCTTTGGACGTATTCTGCAAAGGCTGAGGACGAGTTTGTCCTACTCTGTGACCTACCAGGGCCGAAGCAATCCCATGTCCCTGAACGCCTGCCCTGCAGTGGTATTAAGGACCTGTCTGATGTCCAGTGGTACCTACAACCCCAGAATGAAGATACATTACGAGAAATTACTAAAAACTATTCCCACATCCTTCTGAACAAGACTACCCTACGTTTTTTGACCGCAGAGATGAACAATGCTGGGTCATATATTTGTAGACCCAGGGCTAGGTATGTCCCAAATGCACCCTTATCTGAGAACACCCCCAGACCCTGTTATCTGGATGGGGGACCCGTGCTCACAGGCCCTGTTGACCCTCCTAGGAGCCCCAGCGATGAGGCCTGCTGTGTCAGGATGGACTTGGCCGTTGAGCCCAGGACGGACACCTGCGTGCACCCTGTGCCACGAACGCAATTCCTCACTCTTGGCACCACTGACTCGATTTACTGCCCCAGCCTCGGCTGCCACAGTGACGCGCAGAGTGCAGAGGTGACCTGGTACCGGGTAAGCATGACTTCCCAGTCTCACGTGAGAGCGTGGTCTTAGTGGTGCATCTCTGAGTAGACAGAAACGTGGGTTTGGGGGTCTGATGTCTAGTGCTTTCCAAAGGCTGGCCTTGTGCACAGAGAGGACCCTGCTTTCTGAAAGGGTCTCTGCCCTCCTGAGCCAGAGCCTGGTCCTACAACGACGGAAATCGTCCTTCCAACGGTAAGGGGAGAGCTCCTAACAGTCAAGTGACCCCTGTGAAGTAAGACACCGAGTACAGTCCTCAGGGCCGGGGCAGTGGGGAGCGGGGCATTGCTAGGGGGCAGCAGCAGGTGAAGGGGGGCTTCTGGAAGGCTAGGAGAGTAGAGAGCTTCCCAGGGGACACACCTGAGACATCTAAGGCAAACGCAGAGTGGCCCTGAGTGGCAGGTGAGACAGTGAGGACAGGGTACAATACTAAGAGAAAAAGGGAACCGGGGCCAGGAAAAGGCAGGTGTTGTAATGATTCTGCGTTATAAACCCATGTGAGCAAGCACAACTCACTCTGCACGTCGTCATCGTGTGCGTAGGGGCTCTGGTCTCACAGACACGCGGTGCTCCGCGAGCACGTCGGCGCGGCCCTGCCCCGCTGCCCGTGGAGCCGGGGACTGAATCTAAACGGCTCCCTCCACTTGCAGGAGCTGTGTAAGTCCAGTACTTTGCCTTAAAATTTATTTACAACTTTACATCTGGCTTCAAAATATGTCTGTTCGTTAATATAAAAAGATCATATTAAATGGCCACTGACTGAGGTCCAGCAGGCAGCGTGGGGGTGCACGCCAGGGTTCGGGGGCTGGGGGCACAGTGCCCGTGTGAGAGTGCGTCTTCTCGCTCCATCTCGAGCCTGGGGGCGACAGGGGGCTCCTGGTGTGTTTGTAGAAGTCACTGCTCAGGGACGAGTGAGATGCGCCAAGGCCGCACGTCTGTGTTTTGAGGTGACACTGAAGCTGTGCTGTCTTCAAACATGAACTTCGCACCTTCTGCCGCGAGGCTGGTGTGGAGAGTCAATGACTCTCGTCGTTTCCAGTTCTCTCTGACTTCCCTCGATCAAACGTATGTGTAATCTGGGTGACAGATGTCCTGCTATGTCAGGCCGGCTGTCCCAGCCCGTGGAGCAGGCTGCACCGTATTTCTGAGGAACATGCACACCCGGGGACGGACAGCTCACTTCCACCTCGCGGTGAGCACAGAGCGGTGGCCCCTGCACGCATTGCTCTGGCCAGCCGGGCCCCAGGGCTGCCTGGCATTTACAAAGGGAAGTTCCTTTCTTTCCTCTGGGCTTTGACCGCAAATGGCAGGATGTGTTCGCCAAGATAGGCATCTAAAAGCAGGCAAAGAATGGCTGCTGCGAAAATTGTACCTCCTGATGCAGATTTGGAAAGGCCACAGGTCAGGTTATGTTTCATGCATTGTGTGTGTGTGTGTGCGCATACATGCATTCCTGGGAACTCAGTGTATTCCTGAAAGTGATGACGTTAGTTGGGAAATAGTACCCGATGCTCCTTTCCTTCATGCAAACCCCAGGCAGTCAGCTGGGGGGTGACTCCCACCTAGGACATCTCAGAGCAGAGACACTGCGCCGGCTGGGAGGCTGCACACATGGCGTCACTGGTCCAGAAGGAACTGCTCACCAGGGATGCACCTGCTGGGCGTACAGAATGTTCAGCTGCAACCAATACACAGGCTGGAGTCTCGGAAAACCAAAATATTTTTTTTTCCAAAATGTTTTTAATAGACATGTCAAAAAATTTAGGCTTGGAGATTCTTGATTGAAATATTTAATGACTGAGAAGTTGGAATTGAAGTGAATCATTTATTATTTATTCTGATATTATTTTCTCTATATTTTCTTAATTAATGAAGACATAACCTTGGCATAAAGAGACTTCAGTGAGAGGGCATTTTATGTTCATTTGACCTGGGCTACATCGCCACAGAGGTCAGGAAGAGGGACTCTTCTTGAGTGGCCGTCAGTGAGGCCGTCTGCGGAGCGCCTCCCGCAGTGCCCGCCGCGCTCTGCCGGGGCTGCCGGGCCTCTCTGAGCTCTGTTCCGTGGAACTTCTCACCTAAACCTGCGCTTCTCTCATTTCCTTTTGGCCCAGTTCTCACTCACTGGTATGTGTTGGCATGCCGTGGCCTCGTTTCACAGAGAGCTGTCGCGGGGTGACACTGGCTGGGCCAGCGGTTCGTGTGTTTCCAAGCGGGAGGGAGCAGTGGGTTAGGTTTGATTTTTGAAAACCGTTTCCAAGGGTGACACATTGCCCACGAGATAGTGCTCATGGTTCACTGGCACACCCCTCCTAATCCTGCAAGTCTTCACTTCGGTCCAAGCCTATCCCCCACCTGCGGTCTAACCAGCACCGAAAACAGAGATGCTGCTGCCTTCCTGGTTGCGAACAGTCCGCCGTGCAGGCGTCTGGCGTTAGCTTAGGGGCAGCTCATCACAAGGCCGGTTCGCTCTGAACTGGCAGGTAGGTCTTTTTCACAAGAACTGCAATAGGATCAATTCAATTCTGTGCTAATAGAGTAGAATTTATAACCCATGTTTATGGCTTTAACTTTATTCCTGTTAAACTATAATTTTTTGGTGTCAGCTCATCATTTTACACGTCAAAGGTTGGCATTCTGGTGTGAAATGCAGCCTATGAACAATCACGCCCGCATCTGCGAGCAGCCTGGCGCGGAGGGCGGCCCCGCTGCCACCTCAGGGTCACCCTCTAGTTGCCGAGGGTCCGTCGCCCCGCTGGGCAAGGGTCAGTGGGCAGCACTTTGCTGCTGGACTAACTAGAGAAGGCACTCAAAGTGGAGTCACTCGGCCTACACGTGCCCACGTTGTCTAAGGGAAGTATTTTCTGAATGACTTGCGATAGGTATGACGTGTGCACGGCACTGGTCCAGCCTTGGGCCTCATCGCTTCCTGTGGAGGGAAGTGAGGTGACCAGCATGAGTGCTGGTGGTGAAAGCCAGCTGGCTGGCAGCCACCTGTTCTTTGAGGGGTCCTAGACCATCTGCTTAAAAGTTCATTCAGGGCTTTGGCTAGAGATTGACATTTAGCTCATCAGTCTATAATTTCCATGATGCACCTTTTTCCCATGATAAGTATTAGTGCCCTGGACGGTTTTGCTCAGTGGTTAGAGGCAGCTGGTGGACCAAAGAGTCACAGGTTTGATTCTGGTCAAGGGCACGTACCTCGGGTGTGGTTCCTTCCTGGCCCTGGTGGGGGTCATGCAGAAGGCAGCCAGTCCATGTGTCTTTCTCACATCGATGTTTCATCGATGTTTCTCTCTCTCTCTCTCCCTCCCTCCCACTCTGTCCAAAGATAAATGGGAAAATGTCCTCGGGTGAGGATTTAAAAAAAATAAGTATTAGCACAAAACTCATGCTCGTGTATAAATTAAATACTGCCGGTTGATTGCGGCGGGAGACTGCAGCCGCACGCGCAGGAAAGAGCACGTGGACTGTGGGAACAGGCAGGGCGCCCGCAGTGAGTAGCTCAGCCTGCGGAGCAGAGTTCCAGAAGGTGGAGTTAGGGTCAGACCCAGGACAGGCTGCAGGTTGGTGATGTGGTTTGTTGTCGGGTCTCTGTTGGTGTGTTTGAACTTTACAAGTGTAAGTCCTGATCCAGGGACCTCTCGGCGGGAACAGAAGGAAGATGGTTAAGCTGGAGACACTTTCAAGGAATAAGATAAAAGATGAACTGCTTTAACGAGATGGTGTGAAAGAGGTGACTATCACATTTTGAGACTTTAAGGTTCAAAGTAAATTCATAGCATTTACCAAGTCGGAGAAACTAGCGGCTGATTCAATTAGGAGTGAGAAGAAATGACACACTGAGCTGGGGACAAGGTGTCATTAAAACAGACGTGGAGACATCACGTCCACCAGAAGAAGGGACTAGAGATGCAGACCGCAGAGCCCGCCCAGAGCAGGGCGGTGCCCACACGCACGCAGGCCCCGTGCTGCCAGGGCAGGGGCTCCCGCTCACGCACAGGCTCCCGCTCACGCACAGGCTCCCGCTCACTCACAGGCTCCCTCTCACGCACAGGCTCCCGCTCACGCACAGGCTCCCGCTCATGCACAGGCTCCCGGTCACGCACAGGCTCCCTCTCACGCACAGGCTCCCGCTCACGCACAGGCTCCCGCTCACGCACAGGCTCCCTCTCACGCACAGCGTGCGCACATGCTCCTGCAGTGCGGCTGCGCACGGGACTCCAGCCACATTGCCCCTGCTCCTAGTACTTTGGGCTTTCTTTGCTTTGCTCTTCTCCTTGCTCCACACACCTTTAGAAGTCCTTTTAGCCCCGGCCGAGCAACTAGGTTGGAGTGTTGTTCTGTATCCCACAAATGTCGTGGGCTCCAGCCCTGGTAGGGAGCACGAGAGGCAACCGGTCAACTGATAGCTTGTTTCACCTTGGCTGTCCCACCACCTGACCTTGATTTACTTCCACCTGCACTCCCTCCCCCTCTGCTTGCCAACCTGCTGGAAATTCCTTCTTGAACCACGACAACCACATCAGAGACCTGGAGTGGGGGAATCCCTGACTCTTCAAGTCAGCAGGCAACGTGGTAGGGAAATTCCTCAGTAGGAACCTGAAACTCAAAATCAGAATAATTTAGATAAATTATTCTAGTTCAGTCCTCTCACTGACTAACTCTGTGTTATGGAGCAAAACACAAAGCCCAGAAGCTCATGTTTGTCATCTGTAAAATGGGAGACAGAAAGTATGCAAACCTAGCCAGAGAGGTCTGTGCATCACATGAAGTAATATACAAGAAAGAACTTTGTAATCCATATGGATACTAGGTTCTTATTGCTGTTATTTCTTTGTTACTGTTGTTTATCTCTTTTCTTTTAACTGCCACGGTGAGAGAGATGCCCCTGGTACTCTCCACTGGACCTTGGAAGGCCATGCGCCATGTGCCTTGTGTAAGCTAGGGGCCACTAGATTTCTAGCACGGTGATACTCATTCAACAAGTACTTAGCTCCTGCTACATCCCAGTTCCTAGTGATACAAAGGTGATTATGTAGTCTTTGCTTAAATCTGTAACAGCTTTCACACTTAGTTGCTATTTTGAAAAAATGTCTAATAATGTGACTCAGGCTTCAGAAGCTTTCATTCAGCGGTACATGCGCTCATTCACTCACACTCACAGAGAGCGTCCTGTCGCTGGCCTGCTGCTGCGGACGGGACCGAAGATCAAACACAGCTGCATGCAGCAGCCCCCTCGCCTGGCCTGACTTCCTGTGCTCACTTTGCTCAGTGTTCCTAAAACGACACTTCCCCTTAATTGCCTGGCTCTTGCCTGTCCCTGATGGGACCCGAGGGGCAGTCCTGCTTCAAATAAGCTGAATCAGACCCACAGGAGTGCATCCAACTCTGCTACTACACGAGGTCTGCCTCCTTGGACTGAGGGCTCGCTGAGAGAAAGGGTCTGTGTTTATTCCACTCCGTGTCTCCAGGACCAGGTCTTGGCACAAAGGCTGCTCTCAATGACTCCAGCAGGTGATGCCTAAGCACCAAGCACATCACTCCTACGCAAGGGGCACATGACGATGGAGCCTGCACTCACTATGCTGGGGTCTGCCGTGAGGCCTGGCGACTCCCCTTCCGGAGCTGCCCCTGGAGTGGGAGCTGGCGCTTGAGCAGCAGCCTGGATGCGACGGTGGCGGCACCGTGCAGTGCCTGGGTGGAGAGACGCGTGGCTATTCAGGGAACGGCAAGTGGGAGAGGGGCACTTGGGGAAATGAGTCCAGGAAGGAATGGCAAGATGCCATTGTAAAGAATTTTAGACTCTGTGCTAAGGGCCAGAGTGACACTGATACATTGTAAGAAAGGGAGGAAATGTTCATCATCTGTTAGTTACATGCAACTTCGCGTCTACTGTGAGTTAAATGATGGTTTTCCAGGCATCGGCTATTCTTTGTCATATTTGTGTGCTTAGTATTTTTAATTTAAATTTTATTATTTTATCAAAGTTACATTTATTTAAAGAGGAAGTTTTATATTAGCCCCCTATACAGAACATCTGCATCAATTTTCAGTCATATAAACACCTATGTTTTTAAATTTTATTTAGGTATTAGCTACTTAGAACATGATGAGTTTTCTATAATACTCTCAGGGGCCTGAGTCATTCTTTGGAAGAAAATACATTAAATATATCCTAGTGGGCTGATCAGGTTGGGTGCCCAGATCTCTGCACAAATGTAATTGCATTTAAAAATGCCTTTTATTTTATGAAAGAATTTTACAAATACAATTTTTGAACAGAATCTTTTCATAGCTTGGGAGTAGAATTGTTATGACCTTACCTCAGACTGATTGTCCCCTTCCCTGATTCAAATTTGTGAAGTGTTTTGAAAGATACAATTAATAGTAATAACAATTCTCTGGTTAAAGACATGTATTTGATTTTCTTGTTCTTGAATTAGAATGGACAACTAGTCTCTGAAAAAGGGAGCAACCCAATGCAGCTGGATGAAATCTATGACTTTCACGAGGGCACGTACATCTGCGACCACACTCGGTCAGATAACACAAGTGCATGGACCGTCAGGGCTGTTGTGCAAGTGAGAACCATCGGTGAGTGAAGTTTTGGTTTCAAGATTTCAGATTTGAGCCCAAATTACCCAATTAAAGTTATCTTTCTGTGGCTTAGTAATATTTTTCCTTTTCAGAAAACAATAAAAATAGACATGACTGTAGTCATATAAAGCCTTGAACAGCGACGAACATCAGTTTTCCCCTTGACCTTGATTCCGTTCTCCAGGGTAGGATCATATTCAAGTTGTCATGAGTTGGGTTTTCCATGCATTGACCTCTGTTGCTTGTTCTTTTTCATAATAAGTTAAAAAGACAATATTAATAATTCACACACAGAAATAACTGACACCCATGTTCCTGCCACCTGTTTTAATACTGTTAACATTTCCCACAGGCTTAAAAATCTCGCTTTTTCTTTAAAGAAACCAAACATTGCAGACACAGCTTGAGGCCGCCATCTCTTCCCTTTCCCTCTGTCCCCAGATGTGGTTTAGATTTATAGATTATATCTTTTCTATTTATGCCTTTTAAACATTTTTATGTATCCATTCATAAACTAGAATACTGTTCTATGTTATAAAATGTGACTTGTATTATCAGCACATGGTACCGTTTTGCCCGTTTACGCCTTCATCAGCAATGAATGCATTCCTAGCATTCCTAAATAATACTTGGGGTCTTCAGACTTCTTTTATTGGTGTCAAGTGGTATCTCTTTTATTTATATCAATTTACATTTCCTTGAATACTGATGAAGTTGAGTATCTTGTCATATGTTCATCAGCCCCTTGGGTTCATTCCTCTGAGATTTCTCTATTTCTTGGCCCAGTGTTTCCCTCGGGTCATTCTCACTAGATTCACAAGTGCCAGCATGAATAACTATAGCACGTAATTAACTTAAGCAAGGCCTATGTCAAAGCATAACCACATCTGTCCTTCATGTTTTATATTAAACAGCTACAGAATGGTTGACTTGTCTCTGAGAAATGGTAATCAGTCTTAGCTCCTCTTCTTTTATTGTGAAACACAGTCCACATGGGGCACCCTGAAGCCACGTCAAACAGTCCGGCCTGTTCCTGGCCCTTGCCTGTTCCACTGCCTGTGATCTCGGCAGCTTACATGTGTCCTAGCTTGTTCCTGGGTCCGAAGGTGGGCTGCAGGACCACTGCGCACCCGCTCCAGTGCTGGGCGGCTCCTCCCCTCAGGCAGGACCAGCTGCCCCCCAGCGCCCCGGCAGATCTGCCTGTCCGCTGCCCAAGGGCTCCTTGCAGCCCCGCGGCTTCTGTCAGTGAAACTCACGTCTTCTGTTCACTCATCCGTCGAGCACTTGTTCATTCTCGCACAGATGTGTGTGGAAAATCCAGTGTGTGCCAGGCACTGGGCTTGGTGCTAAGGATGTAAGAATGCGAAGCTTCCTCTGTTCCCCAGAACTTAGCCTCCTGTGGCAGACAGAGAGGAACAGGCTGCACAGCACAGTGTGACGAGTGGAGAGAACGTGGGGCCCACGGCCCCCAAGCCCCACCTGGGCATGCCTTACCAAAGTGGGACTGAGGGGTGGGACCCGATCAGCCAGCGAAGGGGACAGCTGCCACTGCAGGCAGAGGGCAGCACGGGTCCGTCGTGAGATCGGCCGGTGCCGTCAGGACGGGCAGGAGGTCAGCTGTGGTGAGTGTCCGAGAACAAGACGAACACCACACTGTCCCAGTGCGTGTGGAGTATCCGAGGAGCAATGGGGAGCCCCTGAGGGTCCTCAGCAGACGAGTGTCCTGAGCAGATTTGAGATGGGCACTGGCCACTGTGTGGAAAGTGGATGCGGGCGCGGGGACGGGGACGGAGGCCGCGGAGGCCGCTGCCCTCAAGCTGGAGTGGATGACGGGCAGCGGCAGAGGGAGGAGGGCAGCGGCGGGCTCGAGAGGTGTTCGGAAGGCGCACCCCAAAGGGTTGAAATTGAGAGTGAAGAAGAGGGAAGGGACGGGTCTAGGATGAGAGCTAGGTTTTGGTTTGTGATTCACTGATGGAGGGTAAGACGTGCCGCCGGAGTGGCTCAGGGGATGGAGCGTAGTCCATGGACTGAGACGTACCAGTTCAATTCCCAGCCCCCAGCAGGGGGCGTGCAGGAGGCAGCCAGTTGCCGTTTGTCTCTCACATTATGTTTTTATCTCTCTCTCAAAAAATCAATAAAAACATATTGAAGAAAGACGTATAGCACAGCCAACAGAGAGCCATGTAAGGCTCAGGCGGGCGAGCAGCAGGTGCCAGTCATGTCCTTGAAGGACGTCTCTGGCTGCTCTTTGAATGGGCTTAGCAGAGTTGATGAGAAATTGCTTTTTGATAAATAGAACATGATGATGAATTTTATCTGGAAGATAAAAGAAAGAGGGAAATGAAGAATGTTTAGTTTTCTGGCCTGGATAAGTTGGTAAGTGGTGGCACCATAATGAGGCAGAAGAGGCTGAACCAGAAGAAGGTCTGAGCAGTCAGCTAAGTGCAGGTGGAGGGTTATAGTTGTTTGCATGAAAACGACACAGTGACGAATCACGCAGATCACAAGAACGAGCTCTGTGTTTCAAATACAACTCTCACCCTGCTGTCGTCCACACCGCGTTCGGCGGGAAGGGCGGTTAGTCACGCAGCTCGTGATGACACGGGCGGTCTGGAGAGGTTGGGGCTGGACGTGGACATGTGCTGTGTAAACAGAACACGCAGAGCGAAGGCCCGGGCCGCCTGCCCGGGAGTGAGTGCAGGGAGGAGAGCATCCACAGGGAGGCCTCGGCAGGCCAGCGCTCGGAGAGGAGATGGAGGCCGGCATGGGGACCGAGGAACCTGTCTTAGGGCACAGTGACGAAAGAAGGACGGAGGGATGTAGCGCCTCAGTCGAGAGCTCTGAGAACTGGTCATGGGATCTGGGAAGGCAGGGGCTGTTGTTTGCCTCAGCAGGTGCGTATCAGCGGAAGGTGGGGATGAGAACAGCAGAGATGGTGACATAGGAGAGAGATTGTTTCGGGACCAGGACCCTGTGTGGGCACATGCATAGAGGGTGAACTGCACTGCCCGGAGAGAGCGAACAGGCCCTGGGACAGGAGTGGTGTCACTCGGGGCCAGAGGGGAAGGCCCACAGCACATGAGAAGTTGGAGGAGAGCTGAGGTCAGCGAGAGCACAGAGCCATCAGCCGGGAGAGGGCGGGGTTCCAGAGAGGCTGTGGCCCGGGCTGCTGGGAAGCCGAGCAGATGAAGCCGCAGGTGCGCCCAGCGGACTCCTGAGCAAGGCGGTCTGGGGGCTGGGCCAAGGCGGTCCAGTGCCCTTCTGGGCAGCAGGCAGGCTCCGCGGAGCTGAGGGCACGGAGGGCACAAGCACATGGTACTCTTTCAGGAATTTGGCTGAGATGGAAGGAGAATGAGTGAGAGAGAGAGGAAACGAGAGGAAGGCCCGAGGTGGGGGACCGGCAGGAGGAGGCCGCACCGGGTCAGCGAGCTGTCCGGAGCAAGGGGGCTGCGTTCCTTCACGGGAGACGCAGCCGCTCCTCCAGGAGGACTCACAGTGGAGAGCATTTGAAAATGTGTGGCAGAAAGTTGAGAAATCAATGACTAGTGAAGGGCTGGCCTTAATTTTATTTTGAAACAAACTATGAATTTAAGGGTGGAGGGGTGGTCTCCAGCCTGGCCGACTTGGGCCTTTTCTCGGGTGGGTTCTCCTAGTGTCGGTTTGCTCAGCCAGGGGCACCAGCAGCTTGTGGAAGATGGGGTGGGGGCTCGGGTCTGCAATGGCTGAGCGGGGCTGGCATGTAAGAAAATGCACCCAGGCAAATATGGATTTATCAAAAACTGATGTTTTGCTAGCACCCGTAACCTGATGCACAGTCATTTTGGAAGCTTGCTTTCCTCATGGAAGCCTGACTTTCTGGCCTTACAGACTAGGAACAGAATTCAGAGAGGCAGCTCCCAAATGCTTAGATCTAGGTGTGGCCAAGCATGCGGATGTTTAGCAAGCAGGCGCTCTGACTTCCCAATGCAAGTACTGACTTTGTTCTCATCTGCTAGTGAAAAACACCACGCTCCAGCCCGACATTCTCAGACCCGACAAGGACACGCTGGAGGCAGAGCTTGGTAAGGTGGGCTGCTTCCACCCCTGGTGACACAGTGATGCCGGGAGCAAGTCTAACTGAGTGTGCTGTTAGGAAAAAGAATCGGATTCAAGTCCAATAGGATTGGGTGTGGATCTCAACTCAGCCACTGACTGGAGCTGTGACCTTATACAGTCACTTACCATTTAAGTCTCAATTTTTAAATCTGTAAATAGGCAAAATAAAACAGACCTCACAAGGTTACAGTAAGAAATATAGAATAATATATGTTAGATGGCTGGTGCATTTGACATGATCATTCTTTCTTACTCACCTCAGGAACAGGTGGTTATGTATACTAGGTCTATAGGCTTAGTTAAGTCCATAAATTTAACCAATTTATCAAGTTGAGTAGTATTAACCTTAAAAAATATGGTAGTTGGCCCTGGCCGGTTTTGCTCAGTGGTTAGAGCATTGGCCTGAGGTCCAGAGAGACCCGGGTTTGGTTCCCACTGAGGGCACGTACCTCGGTTGCAGTTTGTCCCCGGCCTCGTTGGGTCATGCAGGTGGCAGCCGCTTGATATGTCCCTTTCATGTCGATGTTTCTCTCTCTCTCTCTCCCTCCCACTCTATCTGAACAAAAAATGGAAAAATGTCTTCGGGAGAGGATAAAAAAAAAATGGTAGTTGGTCTGGTCTTTAAGATAATTATAAGAGAATGCTCAAATCCCTGCTCAATTAATGCATTTTCCAAAGTAGTGTCTTCTTTTGGGTAGAAGGCATGATTTTCCTATGGTCCCCTTTCATTTTGTCAAATTCAATAACACCTGTATCTTACCAAAAAGTCAAATAAGAGCTGTGTTATTTAAAACCAACTACTGGTTGCTTCAATAAAATGTGTTTTTTTAAATACAAATATTTCTAATGATAGAAATGTAAAAGTAGATACTGTACTATGGTGAAAGACCGCTAGGTGGCGGTATCAGTACATTCTGTTTATAGGAGTATCAATATGAGCAACAACACAGAATAGAAGAAGGAAAGAAGAAGAAAAATATTTACTTAAAAAAAAAACCAACAACAAAGTTGCATATGGTGTCAGGAAATTTTACTAATTTAATTTTTTTTCTTTATTGATTTTAAAGAGAGAGAAAAGGAGAGGGAGAGAGAAATATCGATGAGAGAGAACATCTATTGGCTGCCTCCTGCACACCCCCCACTGGGGATTGTCCCACAACCTGGGCATGTGCTCTGACCAGGAATCGAACCAGCGACCTCTTGATGCATGGGTCAACCACTGAGCAACACTGGCCGGGAATTATAACAGGAAATTTTAAGGTAGTACTAGGAGAGAGACATTATTAAGGTGCAAAGATGAGTTTTCAGATGGGGTCCCTAGCAGTTACATGGTTACAATACTAAGTTTGAGGCAGAGCATATCTGGATACTTCTTAGGAAAAAACAGAGAGACAGTAGCTAGTGTGATAAAATGCACATTCATGGTGCATAGTCCAAAAAGCACCTAAATATCTAAATAATTTCTTCTGTAAACTACATGCTATAGTAAGCTCATGACTTTTTACTTAATATGCAAATATTGGTTAGAAAACTGTCCATTATTGACATACTTCAACAGAACTACTGGAGGACTGAACTGGTTACTGAAACTTTGCATTTTCCTTGTGTATATCTTTAAGCTACTTTGGAACCCTTAGTGCTCTGCCCAGGCCAGCCTTCATTTTAAAACATATAGTCACAAGAAACTCACCCTTTGCGGCAGCGTGGATAGACTGGGAGAGTATTGTGCTAAGTGAAATAAACCAGTCAGAGAAAGACAAATACTACATGATCTTGCCTATATGTGGAATCTAATGAACAAAATAAACTGATGAATAAAATAGAACCAGAAGCATAGAAACATGGAACAGACTAGCAGAGGTCAGAGGGAAGAGGGGAATGGTGCTGTATAAAATAAGGTGAAGAGAGTAGCCAAAGAACATTTCTGCATAGCCCGTGGACATAGACAACAGTTTGTTGAAAGCCAGGGGGTGAGTGGTGGAGGCTGGATGGAGGGGAGAACAAGGGGAGGTGGAATGAGGGACATCTGTAATAGTGTCAATAATTTAAAAAATAGATAAGTAAAATTTTAAACTAAATGAATATGAAATTTGGTTCTGATAATGCCATTTTGAAAAATATATTTTCAAAATATCTATACATGTTTATAATACAGAACTTAGAACTGACAAAAACATACTTTCATACATAGAAGAACACAGTCTCCTGGTTGAGATGAAAGGGTTGCCTTGGAGACTAGCATGCCTGGCTTCCGAAGGAGAGACAGGCAGACACCCGGTTGTCTCCGGCACACCTGCTTCACTCGCAAGCCTGCGCCCGGGCTGTCTTCATTCGGGTGGAGTCTCCTGCTGCTCGGGCCGTGTTCTCACCGGCTTCCTTCCTGCTTTCTGCGGCCCCTTCGTTTTCAGGAAAGCCTTTGACTATTCACTGCAAAGCACGATTTGGCTTCGAAAAGGACTTTAAACCGGTGATAAGATGGTACAGCAAAGATTCTGACCAGAAGTTGGAAATCCTAACAGCGGAGGGGAGAAGGTAAGAGGATGTGAGAGGATGATATTCTTCGCAACCCACAGTAAATGCTCGCCCCTTTGGAAACCCCTAAACTGTACACACAGAGGTGAACACACAGATGCGCGCACACACACACACACACACACACACACACACACAGGATTGATGGTGTAGCCACGAGCACCAACTAGTGGTGAAAATAAAAGTACAAAGTGTGCCCTGGCCAGTGTGGCTCCATGGTTAGTGTCCCTGTGCACCGAAGGGTCACAAGTTCGATTCCTGCTTTCAATTCCTGCCAAGGGCATGTACCGTACCTGGGTTGCAGGTTTGACCTCCAATCGTGAGTGTGGGAGGCAACCAATGATGTGTCTCTCATATCAGTGTCTTCTCTCCCCTTCTTCCCTCCCTTCCACTCACTAGAAAAATCAGTGGAAAAATATCCTTGGGTGAGGATTAACAATAACAAAAATGTACAAAAGTACAGGTTAATTTTAAACTTGGAGGCCAGATGCAATTTCAGACAAGGCCATAAAATGAAATATTTAAGTTGCTTTATTTTTTAATTTTTTTATTAAAAATTTTTTTCTTTATTGATTTTTAGAGAGAGGAAGGGAGAGAGAGAGAGATAGAAACACCAATGAGACAGAACATCGATTGGCTGCCTCCTGCCTGCCCCCCACTGGGGATGGGGCCCACAACCTAGGCATGTGCCGTGACTGGGAACCGAACTGGCGACCTCCTGGTGCAGGGGCTGACACTCAACCACTGAGCCACACCAGTCAGGAGAAATATATCAGTTGCTTTACAGCTTAACTTATAGGGACAGTTTGCTGTGGCTTCTCCAAGCACCAGGAGCAGGGAGAGCCGCACACAGCTGGGCAGCTGCCCCACCCCCGCCCACTCCCCGCCTCCCACTGCCAGCGGCCAGAGTACCCAAACTCCAGAGATATCAACAGTCCAGAAAACATGAAATGAGGAGATGGTGCAAAAACAAGGGACCTGTACAAAGACGATGTGCAATGAGGAATGGTTGAAGCGATGCACCCTGGGGAAGGAGATGCAGTCAGAGATCTGTCTTGAATTGCTGGGACGCTGTGAAGTTTTATGAAAAACTAGACTTATTTGTTGATATCAAGAGCACAGAACCCAGATTAATCACCAAAATTTACTGGGAAGACAATTTGGCTCAATAAAATGGAAAACTCTAGCCATTTGGATCTATCCAGCTCCTCAGAGAGCTGAGCAGGGGTCCCTGGAGGGCTGAGGGCTTGATGCAGTTGCTAACGGTCTAGTCCCTCCTCTAAGATCTGTTCCAAAGTAATAGTCTGTGGATTGAGCACCCTTCTGATTTTTAAAACATTTCAATGAACAAATATAATTTTGAAAGTATACAACACTATAAAAAGAAAGGACAGATTTGGGGAACAGTAATACAATTTAGCAAGAACTTCTAAAACAAGGAAAGTCATTGGGTGCCCTATTAGGTTGATATTGCATCCAAGTTCAAAGTAGTCGAGTATGACAAAGAGCGTGCGTTTTGACTTTGGTTTGAATTTGTTTTCCACCTGTCGGCAATGCGACCCCAGTGAGCCCCAACAATGTCATGTATAATCCACCTTGCAGGTCCCTGTAGGAGTGGGCACAGGATAGGGGATGTGCCCATCCCAGTCTCTGGCAGGTAAGAGGCATTCTGGGAGGAAGAGTTGGTATTGTAGTCTCCACGCAATACAGCCTAAAACATCATGCACGCAAAAATATTCCTTAATGTGAAGACAGACTAGAGATTGTGAATAAATGCCACGACGCCCACTTCCTGGAGGGGCAGGGGCACAGTCCCGGGATCAGCTGCCACGTCCGGTAGTGTGACCCTGCTCACGTTTGTGCCTGGTCCTCACTGCTGGCGTCGGGTTCCCACTGTTGGCTGTGTGGTCCTTCCTCCTTCCCTAGTGTACAAGACACCGTCGAGAACAAAGACATTGAGTGTGTTCTCCACTTGAAGGAAGTGACTCGGAGTGATCTTCACAAGACGTTCATCTGCTTTGCCCAGAATTCCATTGGGAACACGACTCGGTCCATCCACCTGAAGGAAAAGAAAGGAGGTAAGCCTGGAGCATTGCTGCAGACTGCAATCCAAGTTGTGACTAAATGCCACAGCACCCCATCCCCGGGTAGGGCAGAGGGCACAGCCCAGGGTCAGTCCAGGATTTATCTGCGGGTGAGGAATGTTCCTCAGTGATAGTGATCATGGTGATAGCAATTAATATTTACTACTAGACAGAGTTCTGTGCACTTTGCTGTATTAACTCAGTTAATACCTTGACCAAGGCCACACGACTGTTAAGTTTCCTGTGAGAGGGTCTTCTTAACCAATATTGTGTGTATCAGGGCTATATCGGAAAAGCCTATCATTCATTCATCACATGAACACCTATGTAGGCTCTATGCAGAAGGTATTGTGCTAGGACCTAGGTCCCTCTTCCATATTCTTTTCCTGGCTTCTGAATCCAGAAAATGTGATGGTCAGGAACTGAAGGGTGGAGGCGAGAAAAGGTGATTTTGCTCAGTGTCCAGAAGGGTACGTGTATATCACAGATCATACCCTCTGAGGCTGGAGTGGACAGCCCTAGTAAGAAATAGCACTAAATTCTTTTGAGAAGATGTTCAGAGATGAAGTTGCTATAATTCATTCATTCCATTAATAAATGATTCTGGAACAGAGATTGTGAATCCCACGAGGCTTAAATAAGACAAGCTGTGCCTGGTCCCTGGGGGGCCTCTGAAAGGTGTGTCTCCTGTGTCAGGTGCCGTGCAGGGGCGAGAGCCTTGGGAAGTTCAGACTTAGTGGGGCAATCATACATGAAGATAAGGCACAGTACAAATGAGAGGGATGCAGAGGTGTTGTGTGGAAGTTTATGGGGAAATGAGTGAAAATGGCTTTGACCGGTTTCCCAGGCCGCCCTGACCAGGAGCTGCCCATCCCCCAGGTTCTGTCCAGGTCAGTTAGGATAGTTCCCTCAAGGTGTGACCACGCATTCCCTATTGGACAGCAGCACGTCCAGTAGCGGATACAGATGGGCGCACAGGGCTGGGGGGCTCTGGGCAGCCCCGCGCCGGCCGGCCGGGCGCTGGCTCGTTTGCTCACGCTGCTGGTCTCCCCAGTGCTGTTCCTCTACGTCCTGCTGGGCACCGTCGCGACGCTCGTGGGCATGCTGGCGGCGGGCGCTGCCCTCTTCACCTACCGGACCGAGATAGCGCTGCTGTGCCGCGCCTGCAGGAGGAGCAAGGACGAGGCGCTGGGCGGTAAGGGCAGGGCGGGCACGCTTCCTCAGGCTGACCCGCAGAGCCGCTCCGGAAACGCTGGGCCCTGGCGGGTCGGGTGGTGCTTCCCAGGCCAGACCGTGTCCTGATGGCGCCCTCCTGCGAGGGCTGGGAGCGGGAGAGGAAGTCGGCGCGAAGCTGCGTGGGGAATGACTGAACCCCTCCGTGGCCAGCGCCCCTCTGCCGGAGGAGGGGGCCGGTTTTATCACAGTGCATGCTGTAGGGCTCGACGCAGCCTCAGCCTTAGAGTAGCGTCTGGGGCACAGGGAACACTCCGCGCTGGCCTTGTCTCGGGGGCACCAAGTGCCAGCCGGCCGTGCACCGGGTCCTGAATCGTCCCGCAATCCCAGGGCTCAGAAGGAGTCGCGCCCAAACTGAACTGCTGGGCAATGTCAGCGCTGGGGCCCTGGCGCCGGCCGCGGCCCAGAGACGGTAACGATCGCGTGGTCAGCGGGCTCCATAAAGTGAGGGGCTGGGAGTGGATGGGAAGGTCCCCGAGAGGGTGACGTCCTGTAAGGTGCAGGTACTATACTATTAGTGAAGGGTCTGTCCGTGTCCCCACGAGACGGAAAAATAACATGGATGAATGTTTGCTTCTTCAGAGTAGAAGAGCTGCTCCTGTGACTGTCTAGTCCTGAAGTCCCCTGAGGTTAGAACCTTGCAGTTTTAGCAAATGATTCTGTTGCCTGGAAAGAGCTCCCGCCCTTTGGCCGACTGCGGGGCTCATTCCTTCCCTGGCAGGGCCCTGGCGCAGTGCTGCTCCGCCCCGGGTTCGGGGAGGGCTGCAGGCCTCTGGGAATCCGAGTCAAAACACACGCTGTCACGCCTTCCTGAGACCATTCACTGAGAATATGCACCAGAAATCCTTAAGCCAGGAGTGTTTTTAAGATTTATTTAAAATAAAAGTTAGCCTTTTTTAATTAAGCCGATATCTCATCAGGTCTCAATTGTTTCCCTGGACAACGTCATCTTTTACTAAAATGCTGATTATCCTAACATCCCAGCGCCTGCGAAGCCAGCCGACTGAGAGCTGGAAGTGTGCCCTGGGCGGGCACGTCACAGAGCGGGCCACGTCACAGCGCCGGCACACGTCACAGAGCCGGCACACGTCACAGAGCCGGCACATGTCACAGAGCGGGCACACGTCACAGGGCGGGTACATGTCACAGAGCCGGCACATGTTACAGAGCGGGCACACGTCACAGAGCGGGCCACGTCACAGCGCGGGCACATGTCACAGAGCCGGCACACGTCACAGAGCCGGCACACGTCACAGACGGGCCACGTCACAGCGCGGGCACACGTCACAGAGCGGGCCCACGTCACAGAGTGGGCCCACGTCACAGCGCGGGCACACGTCACAGAGCGGGTACACGTCACAGCGCGGGCACACGTCACAGCGCGGGCACACGTCACAGAGCGGGCACAGGTCACAGAGCGGGCACAGGTCACTGCGCGGACACACGTCACAGAGCGGGCACACGTCACAGCGCGGGCACACGTCACAGCGCGGGCACACGTCACAGAGCGGGTACACGTCACAGAGCGGGCACACGTCACAGCGCGGGCACACGTCACAGAGCGGGCACACGTCACAGCGCGAGCACACGTCACAGAGCGGGTACACGTCACAGAGCGGGCACACGTCACAGAGCGGGCACAGGTCACAGCGCGGGCACACGTCACAGAGCGGGCACACGTCACAGCGCGGGCACACGTCACAGCGCGGGCACACGTCACAGAGCGGGCACAGGTCACAGAGCGGGCACAAGCAGAGGGGCCGGCGGGTCCCCGCCACAGTGACTCAGCGCCTCGCTGCCCAACCCCATGCTGCGCAGCAGAACCATTCCCTGCGCTGTTAGTGGCAAATACACAGAAGTTTGGAGACAGAAACTGTCAGCATTTTGGAGGACCTAACAGGTTGTCCAGTTCTTCCACTATATTTTATTACCAAGGAAATACTTTCAGATTACAGAAAAATCCTAGTTTGCTGGACTTTCCCATGGATGCGGAGGGAACCGAGGCCACGGTGCGTGTTCCGTACCCACACTGCACAGCGCTCACCCGCGAGCCACACCGTGGGCGGCCCTCGTTCCCCCCGGGCCACGAGAGCTTCACCGGGGCTCTGGGCACGGCCTGGTGCCCTGGTCGGGGCTGCAGACCTCCACTCCCTCTCCCTGTGCTATTCCTGGACTGCCGTCCACTAGGCCCCTCTCAGGGCCACGTGGAACAAGTGTACTTCTGGGTCGCACCAGCAGCTGGCGCTGTTACTGCTTGTGAGGATATCATCCACCAGGCAGATGGCCAGAGGGCTGCAACGAGCTGATGCAGGAGATTTTCCACCACTTCCAGTTTGTTCCTTAGCCGTCCCAGGAATCAATGTGCATTTGTGATCCTTCAGCAGAGGCAGAGACCTAACGATATCCCAAAGCAAGTTCCATCCGATGGAGTCCCATTAGAGAGGAGGGGAGAGCATATTTGTCCTGTGCCTGCTATGTGCCAGACACCAAGCTTTTCACATGCAGTGTCTCACGCTGCCTGCTGGGGAGCTGTCATGGTGTCCTTTACCCCTGGGACCCCAGTAGAGGTAGGTGGACCATCAGCTTCTCCGGCACAGGTGCCAGTCTTAGCAGACTTAAACACTGCATGTTGGGCTTCGGTGGAGCAGACTCTTCCTTGATGTGTAACTAATGAGATGGCAACTGCAGATCCCAGGAGAGCTGGAGGAACCCCTGAGGGCCTGTGATTTAACCGTAGGGGCCCGGCAGTTTAATCTGCGCAGGACGCGGCAGGGAGCGGCCTCGTGGAACTGGACTCTGATTCTGGGTCAACAACCAACACCACTCAGCAGTGCGACTTGGAAATGGACTCAGTTGCTGAGTTTGATTTTTTAAATCAATTCAGTAGTGATCCCAAGTCTTCATTATTAGCTGTTGACTATGTTTCAAGCATATGTAGGTGTACTGCACCAGTCACAAAATCTGTGAACGGCTTACATTTTGATTATTCCTCTTCTTCAGGTGGAAAGGAATTCGATGCTTTCATTTCCTACGCAAAGTGGGGCTCTTTCGAGAGTGAGACTGCTTCACCTGTGAGTGAGGAGGACCTTGCCCTGAACCTGTTCCCGGAGGTTTTGGAAAACAAATATGGATACACCTTGTGTTTGCTCGAAAGAGACGTGTCCCCAGGAGGAGGTAGGTCCTGCGTGGCCAGAGCAAATCCAGAACAGAGGGGCGGGCAAAGGGAGGGCTGCCAAGCTCTCCTCTCGTCCTTACTGCTGAGATGTACATCTCTGGCAGGGTTCATGGACTTAGAACACGTTGGGCAGCAACACAGAAAAACATGCGTTGCAGAGACATGTCCCATCATCTAAAAACCCATCCTCGCCCGGCCGGCGTGGCGCAGTGGCTGAGCGTCGACCCTGCACTAAGAGGTTGCTGGTTTGATTCCCGGTCAGGGCACCTGCCCAGGTTATGGGCCCGGTCCCCAGCAAGGAGCATGCAGGAGGCAGCCAATCGATGTTCTCTCTTATTGATGTTTCTATCTCTCTGTCCCTCTTCTTTCCTCTCTCTCTCTCAAGTCAATTTAAAAAAAATCCATCCTCAGAAGAGAAAGATAATATCAGGCCATAGGGAGGCCTCTAGAGCAAAGATGTCTCTCCTGGCTCCTCAGCAGGGAGTCATCTGTCCTTCCAAAGGGTGTCCCTCTGCTGTCTGGTGCTGGCCGGCAACACACCTCAGCACTGGGAGGAGCAGGCCCCTGAGCCAGCCCCAGCCGGCCCTGTATTAGACGTGCAGACCTCCTCCTGTCCTGCTGACCCTCTGCCTCCTCGACCTCAGACACCCTGCCAAGGGTCCTGGAACCTTCATGGCCCTCCGCTACCCCTGGCTGTTCCAACAAGCTTTGCTCCTAGAGGGGCTGTCCTCTGAGGAGAGAGAACTATAAAGCTGAGTCACTAGACATTAGAGCGTCTCTTCCACTGTCGACAAAGTGGACGAGCGAGTGTGACGCAGTCCACCCGGCTCCCTCCCCTCACATGACGGGTCCATTGCAAGGAACCCTCGGGTGGATCAGGGTTGTTTCCACTCAGGGTTTTAAAGCAACAGCTGCAATTAATTAATGCTTTATTCCCAGTGTACACAGAAGACATTGTGCGCATTCTTAAGAAAAGTAGAAGAGGAATATTTATCTTAAGCCCCAGCTACGTCAATGGGCCCAGTGTCTTCGAGCTCCAAGCCGCAGTGAACCTTGCCTTGCAGGACCGAACTCTGAAACTCATTTTAGTTCAGTTCCGTTCCTTCCAAGAGCCAGAATCTCTGCCTCATTTGGTGATGAAAGCGCTCCGGGCTCTGCCCACAGTCACCTGGAGAGGCTTGAGGTCGGTGCCCCCCAGTTCCAGGTTCTGGGCTCAGATACGCTACCACATGCCTGTGAAAACTCGGAAGGATTCACGTGGAACCATCTCAAAGTTACCTCGAGAACATTCTTACTGGAAAGACTCAGTAAAACAGAAACCACTGGGAGGAGCTCCCAGCCCAGGGAATGAGCACAGGAGCCCCGAACTTCCCTGCAGTTCTGGCGAGCTGACATGGTGACAGACAGAACACAGCACGGTCACTGACCTGAAGTGGAAGGGGTTCTGCCAGCCCTGGGCGGGCGCGGCAGGCCTGGTCCAACCCTGAGCTGTGGCTAGGGCTCCGCTCCTGGCCTCACAGAGGGAGATGGAGCTCTCTGAGACCCCCACACTCAGCACACAGCCCCCGAGGTTCCTTAGGGTCAGCACACAGCCCCCGAGATTCCTTAGGGTCAGCACACAGCTCCCTGAGATTCCTTAGGGTCAGCACACAGCTCCCTGAGATTCCTTAGGGTCAGCACACAGCTCCCTGAGATTCCTTAGGGTCAGCACACAGCTCCCTGAGATTCCTTAGGGTCAGCACACAGCTCCCGAGATTCCTTAGGGTCAGCACACAGCCCCCGAGATTCCTTAGGGTCAGCACACAGCTCCCGAGATTCCTTAGGGTCAGCACACAGCTCCCGAGACTCCTTAGGGTCAGCACACAGCTCCCGAGATTCCTTAGGGTCAAGCACACAGCTCCCTGAGATTCCTTAGGGTCAGCACACAGCTCCCTGAGATTCCTTAGGGTCAGCACACAGCTCCCGAGATTCCTTAGGGTCAGCACACAGCTCCCGAGACTCTTAGGGTCAGCACACAGCTCCCGAGACTCCTTAGGGTCAGCACACAGCTCCCTGAGATTCCTTAGGGTCAGCACACAGCTCCCGAGATTCCTTAGGGTCAGCACACAGCTCCCGAGATTCCTTAGGGTCAGCACACAGCTCCCGAGATTCCTTGGGGTCAGTACACAGCTCCCTGAGATTCCTTAGGGTCAGCACATAGCTCCCTGAGATTCCTTGGGGTCAGTACACAGCTCCCTGAGATTCCTTAGGTCAACAGAATCGGCAGATGTGTCCACTTTTACTTTGTGGCCATGGACGCTTAGGTCTACTATGATATAAATGTATATACATTTACAATAAAATAAATATTGTTTTATCAGAAACAAGTGGTGTAAACATTACTAAAAGCTTCTCTATAAAGAAGATCAGTGTTTGATCTTCTAACTGGATCAGAGGGCAAGTTGGCGAGGCAGACCAGGGAAGAAGGAGCAGGGATGGCCACGGCCAGGCCTCACGTGTCCTTGTGGGAAGTGACCCTCTGGGCAGACAAACTGGGCTGCTGCAGCCCTGTGCCAGGGCTGGGGAGCAGAGCAGGAATATTGTCAACTTCTCCTTGTCCCCTGGGTCTTTGTGCAGGGCCTGAAGTGCAAAACCTTACTCTGGGCCAACGGCAGTGGGGCCACCTAGGCCGAAACGGTCAGGCCGGTGACAGACTAGCAGTGGCAAGGCGATAGCAAGTGTGAACAGCCAAGAGTCTGGGAAACAAGTCTACACCCTGGAGGAAGGACAGCAGGGAGGGAGCTGGACAGCGTCTGTCTGAGCTGTGTGCCCTTGGGGCTGACCCTTCTCATATGTGCTTCCTGGTCTCAGTTGGACTACTCCTGGGAATGGGTTCGTTGCTGGAGGACCACATAACTGTTTCTGATATACAAGAACTTTGTTCTCATACGTTTGTTTTCCTTCTGAGCTTTCCAGTAGCATTCTAGTCACTGTGAATGTAAAACCGTCATGGTCTCCCACCCCGACGGAAGGGGATGACGCAGTTAGTGATGAAAGCAGCAACTCCTGCCCTGCCGGTGTGGCTCTGTGGAGTGAGCGTCCTCCCGTGGACTGAGAGGTCTGGGTTGATTCCCGTCAGGGCACATGCCCGGTTGCGGGCTCGATCCCCAGTAGGGGGCGTGCAGGAGGCGGTGATCCATGTTTCTCTCTCATTGATGTTTCTCTCCTGTCCTCTTCCTCTAAAAAAAATAAACAAAAAAATCAATAAGAACACATTTTAAAAAAAGAAGAGCAAATTCTGGACTCATTCACATGCAATGTGTCACCTCCACTGTGTACATGTGATCCAAGTCTAGAGTGACTAAAGTCATTGTCATCTGACCACTGACTGGAGCCTGTGAGAAATGTTCTGGAGTTTTTTTTCACAGAGGTGCCCACATCATAAGAACCACTGTGGCTTTGGCCTGAAGAAGCATCCTTGTTGGGAATTCCAGTGATAAAGCTAAAGATGAGTTAAAGGGTATCAATTATCCCCACAGGAAGTTTCCTGTGGAAAGCTTCATTGCAGGGTCTCGGAGGGGAGGAACCCACACTGTCATTGTGGCTTTGTGTTATGGGGATGGCCAGGATCCCTAGTTTTCTACCATAAACTCTGGGATCTAAGCCTCAGAGACCTCTTTTAACCAGCCTATCTAGGTTCATTTTATTCTAAAATAAATACTGTTATAATTCATCTATCCTATGTTCCAGAGTCCTGTTCTAAGCTTAACAGAAACTCAAACTGAGCCTCTGGTTTGTATATACAGTAAAAATAAACTATTTTGGTCTAACATTTACAGAATACACTCTTTACAGGTTAGTAGGTACACTGAACATGACAAATTAACTTTTAGGACAAAGGCTTATTTACATGTAAATCAATCAAAACAAAGTGGACAACCCAAACACATTATTTATATACAGGTGGGTGATGGTAATTAAACAATGAAACTCGGTGAATACAATGAGGAAAGAGCATTATTTCCCCACAAGACCTTCTAAATAAGGTGGTGCTATATTCTAGTTCCTAGTTCACATCTATTGTCTAGGTATAATTTCATAGCTCGGGTGAATTTCTCATCCTGACAATGTGTTCTATTTGGTTGATGGTCACCCTACCCTAACGCACACTGGAGAGCACTCCTTACTGAGACCGGATGATGGTCACCCTACCCTAACGCACACTGTAGAGCACTCCTTACTGAGCTTGGATGACACCTCACAGCTTTCCTGTCTTTTCTGAGTTTTTATACCTACATTTTAGGATCTATATTATTTTTAGGTCACAGTTATAGGTAAGACGGAGTAAGGAAATACCACCATATTTCTCCCAGTAATTATAGCTATGAAACCTGGAATAAATGCACAGAAAATCAGTTTGAACATTCTGAAAACTAAATAGAAGCAGTAAGACTAGAGATGCCAAGAATGCAAAGTTTCATGGTTTTTAGTTTTCTCCAGTATCCCTGCTTAGACTTGGTGCAGTCAGAAACCCAGAAGTGGAGTGGTGATGGAGAGTTCCAGAAGTCCTCTAGTTCTGCTTTGGAGAGAGAAAAACTTTCCCTAGTGTCCCTGCATTTGTTCCTCTCTCTATTCTTTCACTTCCTAGTCCTATGCAGTTCTGTGACGGTGGCGGTTGTACCAACCAACACAGTGGTGACAAGTTGCCCTCATAGCCTCCATTTGTGATGAAGGGGAACTTTCCATTGTGATACCAAGAGCTGAGGTCCCAGGAGAATGTGAGAAATCTCTCTCGGTGTTTTTCTCTCTGTCCTCTCATCATTTGACTATGGAGATGGAAGCAATTGTGGAAAGAGCATTCAAAGTGGGGTGTATAAGCCACCAACACACTGGCCCGAGAGACTCCAGAGGAGGCCAGGAAGCTGATGGAAGCATGGAGCTGGCAGGCAGGGGCGCTCAGGAAAGCCAACCAGGGGTGCTGCTCCAGACACCCAGGCAGCCCTCTACTGCACGTGCGTGCATCTAGCACCACGTAGAACACGGTGAACTTCAAGAACGAACTGAAACACAGGCCGCTTCCTCAGCGCCAGGTTGGCCGGTGCAAGGCGTGTGTGTGGGGCCAGTGTGAGCGGACCTGAAAGACACGGAAACAGGGCTTTGAAGCCCCAGGGCTGGTTCGCATTCGGGCTGAACCAACTTGCTTAGCTGCCTACTTAAGGAGGATTTCAACAAGGTCCAGCGTTGCATCACATAACATTTATTTATTTATGAGAGTTTATTTATTGATTTTACTTTTTTTTAAGAGAGAGAGAAGAAGGGAGAGAGAGAGGATTTGTTGTTCCACATATTTATATATTTCTTGGTTGATTCTTGTATGTGCCCTGACTGGGAATCAAACCCACAACCTTAGCATATTGGGACAGCGCTCTAACCAACTGAGCTACGTGGTCAGGGCTGTATAACATAGCATTTAAATTATTCAGAATACAAACCATTGAAAGCAAAATATTATAATGTTTTCTGATAAAAATTTTAATGTAGGTAGATGTAATAATATGAGTCAGTTACAATATAAAGGAGGGAGGGTAAGGAAAGATATATTGGCCTCGCTAGCGTGGCTCAGTTGAGCACCAACCCATATACTGAGAGGTCGCTGGTTTGATTCCCGGTCAGGGCACATGCCTGGGTTGCAGGTGCTATCCCCAGAAGGGGGTGCGCAAGAGGCAGCCAATCAATGTTTCTCTCTCTCTCTCCCTTTCCCTTCCTCTCTCTAAAATCAATAAAAACATTTTTTTTTTTTAAGAATGCATATATTGGATATGGTATCTACATACACTTGAAGTGGTAAAGTATTCATTCTGAGTAGAGAGTGAAAACATAAGAAATTATATATTAATCCCCTGGGCAACCACTAAAACAAACAAAAAATATTGTTAAAACATGATGGATAAATTAAAATGGAATAATAAAAAAGTTCAAATATCCCAAAAGAAATAAGGAAAAGGAAAATAGGGGAAAAACTGAGGGTATAAACAGAAATCAAATAATAAAATTGTAGATATAAATTTAAACATAGCAATAATCAGATTAAATGTAAAGTGTATACATTGTCATCAAAATACCAAGATTATGAGAATGGATTTTTTAAAATGACCCAAGTATATTTCCTATACAATAAACGCTTTTCAAGTATCATGTTATAGGTAGGTTACAGGTAAAGGGTTAGAACATAGACAACAATGCTGGAGGTGTGTGGGATCAGGAGGAGGGTGTCTGGGGGAGAAAGGAGAAACATCTGTAACAAAAATATATAAATTGATTAAAAATAAAAATAAAGGGTTAGATACAAATATATTATGTGAATATTAATTTAAAGGAAAGTTGGAGTATCTATATTAACATCAGCTCATCTACACTTTAGAGCAAATAAAATTACCAGGGGTAAAGATGATATCACATGAGAACAAAAGAAGACATTTGGCAAGAAGACATAACAACGTCCATGTGCTTGCACCAAACAACAGGGATGCAAAACACGTGAAGAAAAACGGAAAGAACTCAAGTAGAAATAGACAAGTCCATACATGTAATTAGAGACTTTAACGTATTTTCCTCAGGTATTGATCAAATTAGTAAACACAACTTCAGCAAGTACATAGAATAATGAGATAAGGTACTTAATTTATAATTGCTGGATCTACTAGACAATATAGAACATCCCACCCAAAGACAGCAGAATACACATTCTTTTGATGTGCACGCAGAAAATGATCTAAGAGTTTTCTTACCAGTATCCTAGATTGTAAAACAAACATTAACAAAAATAAAATAATTATTTGAAGTATTTTCTCTATTTATAATGGAATAACAGTAGAAATTAATAACTGAAAGATGACAAAAATCTTAATCTTAAAAATTAAACATCACATTTCTAAACAATCCCTGGGTGAAAGAGAAAGTCTCAGGGAAATTAACTAATATTTTTAACGGAAAAAAATGAAAATACAACATATCAAGATTTGCAAGATGAGGCGAAAGTCATACTTAGGGGAAATTTATAGTGCTAAGTGCTTATATGAGAAAAGGAAAATATCTCAAATTAATGATCTAAACTCCTACTTTGGCAAATAGACAGAAGGAAATAATAAAGATGAGAGCCACGACCGATTATAGTAAACACAGGAAAACACAGAGAAAATTAACAACAAATTCACTTCTTTCAAAAGCAATGAAATTAATAAATTTCTAGGAAGGCTCACCAAGAAAAAAGGGAAAGACACAAATCGCCAATGTCAAGAATAAAATGACAGCACTGCAGACCCTGCATATCTTAAAAGGATGATAAGAGAGACTCTATATAAATATATGGACACATATTTGGCAACCTAAATAAAATGAATAAATTATCAAAAATCATAAGGTATCAAAGCACACCTAAGATAAAATAGACAACCTGAATTGTGTGTAACTAATAATAAAGAAGTTAAATTTGTGGTTTTAAATTTCCAAAGAGAAATCTTCAGACCCACATGGCTTTACTGCCTTCACCAAACATTTACATAAAAGAATTAACACCAACGCTACAAAAATTTCTTCCAGAAAATAGAAGTTAAGGGAGCATTTCCAAAGTTACCA